AGACTGGAGTGAAGGCCCGAGTCCCCTCAGCTGCTCCGGCAGGCAGACTTCCTTCCCTCCTCCGCTCAGGTGGCCGGTGCGTCCCCACCTCTGTGCCTTCCCAGGCTTCTCCGCACTCTTCCCGTCTTGCTGGAACACCCCCACCCCATCTTTTTTTTTTTTTTTTTTTTAATATGTTTTATTGAATTTTTAGATATGTAGAAACATCAATGTGAGAGAGAAACATCAATGGGCCGCCTCCTGCACACCCCCCACTGGGGATCAAGCCCACAACCCAGGCAAGTGCCCTGACCGGGAATCGAACCGGGACCTCTCAGTCCATGGGACGAAGCTCCATCCACTGAGCCACACCGGCCGGGCATCCACCCCCTCTTGCAAGACAAAACTCGCCCTCTCTCTTCAAGTTGGCTTTTCGCACACATATCCCCTGCTCAGCAACGATCTCTCTGGTGCGCAGACTAAAAGTAATCTTCTCTTCTCAGAAGTTCCGCGGTGGTTTATTTATGGCTCTTGGAGTTTCCAAAGGCCACGTACTCGTTGAAATACGCGCCTTGTCTCCCTTGTTGAACCACGAGTTCCTGAAGACGGGTCCTGTCTCATCCGTCTCTGTCTCCTCACCCTCTGTGTCTGCAGCTTCCTCTCCTGCCCCTCCCTGCAGCCCTGTGACTCCCACGGGCCGCTCGTCACCGTTGTACTGGCTGTTTAATGCGGTGTCCCCGCTGGGCCGGGCGCCCTGTCACTGGCGTCTAGAAGGAAAGCCAGCCAGCAAGTGTGTTCGGACACACATCGATTCTCCCACTGGTATATTAGAGCCTCCATTCTGATGTTTCAGCTCCAGACACCAAAGCTGAGCTTAGCTCTTCTCACCCCACACCTGTCAGCAGCACCTCAGTTCTTATTTGAACTACAGAACCACGCGTGTTAAAATAGATGTGTAAACCCAGCTGTGATTGATGGTCTTCCCCCCCCCCCCCCCGCCGTGGAGGATCTTGTTTTTCTCACTCATTCATGCGCATGCTCACACTCACTCGCCCTCACAGCAGACCTACCGGGGTTCTTCCTGGGGCTGCGATCTTTCATCTGCAAGCACCTCGTCCTTTTCTTCTGCCGGCCCACCGTGAACTGGGGTGTTCTGAGCTTGGGCTCAGTCTCCCACCCTGGGCAGCTCCGACCCCGCCACGCCCCACGTCGGCCGTTTTCACGCCTTCTTTCGTGCACGTGGCTTGTCCAGTATGGCGCCCCCTGGGCTCCTCTGCAAGATGCGCTCAGGACCCCATGCACCTGCACAGCTGACCCCAGCCACGGCGCTGTCATCATACGGGTGAACGGGCGGTGTCTCGAGGCCCAGGGACTGGGAGGGTCCCCTTTGCACGCCCAGGTCAGCCTGCCTAACCTCAAAGCAGAGTCATCATTTCCTTCCACGGGGAGCCACTGGTGTCTGTGCAGAGTGAAGGCTGCTGCGCGTGATCTTAGACCTTTGCACCCTTGGTGCGTGTGTGTGTTCTTCCTCCGAGGTGACGAGCGCTATTTTGTCTTCGTGACAGCCGTTTGTGGCTGTCTGCAAAGTAGGTGCTCAGGACAGACAGGATGAGGGAACTCACGAAATAACGCATGCGCTGGCTGTGTGCTATTTGGTTTACAGCTGTTGCTGTGCCCTGGCTGGTTTGGCTCAGCAGTGAGCGTGTCGGCCTGCGGACCCAAGAGGCGAGGGTTCGATTCTGGTCAAGGACCGTTCCTCTGCCCGGCAATGCGGCTCAGTGGTTGAGCGGTGACCCTGCACCAAGAGGTCGCTGGTTTGATTCCCGGTCACGGCACGTGCCCAGGTTGTGGGCCTGATCCCCAGTTGGGGGCATGCAGGAGGCGGCCAGTCAGTGTTCTCTCTCGTCGATGTTTCTAGCTCGCTCTCTCTTTCTAAAATCAGTAAAGGAAAAAATAAGGACACATGCCTTGGTTGCGGTTCAGTCCCCAGCCCTGGTTGGGGCGTGTGGAAGGCAACAATCGATGTATCTCTCACACATTGATATTTCTCTCACTCCTCCTCCCCACTCTGTGTGACGATAAATGATGTTGATGTATTTGATGTCTCTCTAGATCGTCTCTGTATTAGATGCTCAGAAAAATATTTAAGTGTGTTGATTCATTCAGCTGGTGATATCAGGCACCTGCTCTGGGCCAAGCCCCTGCCAGGGGCTTGGAGGGCTTCGATACAAAGTACACCTGAAGCTCCCTTCTGGGGGTGGGGTGGGGGGTGTGAGGTTGGTACCCTGAACGCAGGATGGAATCCATCACAGGCCTTAACGACATTTTTTTTTATCCTCACCCGAGGACATTTTTGCATTTATCTTCAGATAGAGTGGGAGGGAGAGAGAGAGAGAAACATGGATGTGAGAGGGACACATCGAGTGGTCACCACCCACATGACTCCAGCTGGGGCCGGGGACAAACTGCAGCCGAGGTACCTGCCCTTAGCGGGAATCGAACCCGGGTCTCTCCAGTCTGTGGGCCAACGCTCCAACCGTGGAGCCAAACCGGCCAGGGCCTTACGACGTTTTTTATAAAGAAAATATTGGAGGATTGGGGGAGGGAGGGATCCCTTCCTGCCGAGATTGGTGTGTTAGAGGAGGCGGCGTCTGAGTGAACCCTGATGGGCGGGCAGGTTTGCGCAGCGGGCACAGGAGGCGGACTTCTCAGCCGGGGCGAATGGAGGGGGCCTGAGGGAGGCTCGGGGCAGAGGCAGCAGAGAGCCCTGAGCGGCCGGCTGTGAAGGACGCTGAGGGTCTCAGATGCAGGGGTGCGTCTGTATTAGGGACAGGATGCCAGATAAAGTTGGCAGAGCTGTGACGGAGGAGTTGGGTCCAACCAAGAGAGGACACGATGTCCAGGAGCAGTGAGGGCCGCCCCGGGAACCGCCAGGGAGACCGCCAAGGGGTGGGGGTGGGGGTGGGGTGAGGGGTGGACAGCGGCTGGTCTGAGATGGGACAGAGGAAAGGTGATCCCTAGGCGAGGAGCCTGGGAGGACGCGGGGTGGGTGTGGGGTGGCCCGGCTGCCAGCAGGTGTCCCAGCATGGGGGGGACATTCTTCGGCATGGGGGCTGTGGCAGAGCTGCGCCCCCTCTTGTGTTTATTGGTGTCACGGTTTCCGGTGGAAACAACCCGCGTGTGCTTGTTAATCAGATTTTTCACCAGCTCGGCCTTTTCTCTGTCACCATTCCTTCCGGTCGTCCGCCAGCCCCGCCTTAAACTCAGCTTTTCGGTATTTAAACTGTGACTCTGCAGGCTGATCCTGGCAAGTCGCCGCTGGTGACATTGCACCGGGGAGCGGCGCCAGGTACATGACTCGTGTTGAGTTGTTGAAGCAGGACAGAAGTTACCCCCAGAAGGCATTTCTGAAGTGAGAGTCATAAACTGGTCATTTGTTTGGCAGGATCGGTTAGTGCTGGCATAATTACACAGCTTACCAATATTGTTGGAGTACGTTTCTTTCTCCATTTTGACATGCAATATAGTGAGTAGCACATAGAAATCAGATCCCATACTGCCTCAAAACCGTGCCTATTTTTAGTCTTACTATTCAAGGTAATTATACTTAACATTGTTCTTCGCTCAAGGTAACAAGGAATGCATGAGATTCCAAAGTTTCCTGCTTTTATTGGCCTGTAGCCTTAGGTGGGTGTAGCCTCAGGTGGGTGTAGCCTCAGGTGTGCATGACCCACGGTGACACACAGGCCACTAGGCCCCCGGGGTGTCGGCCAGCAATGTGTTGACTTACAGGAGTGGTGGAGCCTGGGGAAGAGAAAGCAGATCCCAGCTCATTTTCTCCTCGGGGAGGGACCCCTGCAGCCTCAGAACAGAGTCTGTGCCTGAAGGTCCCTCCTGACCGAAGCTCCGTGCCCCTCACTTGACTCGAATTTGCCGGCGCAGTGACTCCGCGTTCTCTAGGTGCCCCCCCAGTGTGTGTCAGGAACATCCGGTGCTACTTGACGTAATCCATGGTGACAGCTTGTGAGACGACCAGGCTCTGGCCTTCTGCTTCAAGGAGAAGAACAGGGACCTCAGGCCCCTGGCCCTGCCTTTCTCTGTGTGTCTCCTTTCCCCGGAGACGTGGCCGTGCTCGCGCGCTCTCTCGCCCATTCACAGGAGACAGCCCCTCGGTTCTGTTTTTCCCTTCCGTTCCCCCGCGGTGGGCTGCGCTGGGGAGGCGGGGTCTGGGCCGAGACCTGAGCACAGCCCAGCCCAGGCCTGAGTGAGAGCAGGAGGTGGTGACCCCTTCTCTTCAGCACCTTTACATGGCTCTCACGTGGGCTGTTCTTATCTCTCCGCCAACTTGATAGCTTGATAACAGGAAGTTGTTACGGTAAACAGATGTAGGCCTGTTGCCATCCACTCATCTGTAAGAACGGACAAAGCCGTCGTACTGGTGCTTGTCGGGTTTGAAGGAAGGTGACCATCACACACTGGTCTCTGGCATCCTTGCCAGCCTGACTTTAGAGTAAGAGGAACTGAGGCCTCGCCAGCTGCGGTTTGGCCCTTGGTCCCGGCCCCAGTCACGGCCGTGCAGGAGGCAGCCAGTCAGTGCGTCTCTCACAGCGATGTTTCTCCCTCCCTCCAGCCCTCCCTCCCTCCCTCCTCCCGCTCTATCTAAAAATAAATGGAAAAAATATCCTCGGGTGAGGATTTAAAATAAAAATTAAATTAAGGGAAGTCCTGGCCAGTTTGGCTCAGCGGTTAGAGCATCGGCCTGCGGTCCAGAGAGGCCCGGGTTTGGTTCCTGCTAAGGGCATGTATCTCGGTTGCAGTTTGTCCCCGGCCCCGGTTGGGGTCATGTGGGTGGCAGCCACTCGATGTGTCCCTTCCACGTTGATGTTTCTCTCTCTCTCTCTCTCTCTTCCTCTCTCTCCCTCCCACACTGTCTGAACAAAAAATGGAAAAATGTCCTCGGGTGAGGATAAAAAAAAAAAAATTAAGGGAAACTGAGAATAGTCCTTGTTTTTGTTTTTCAGATTCAGAATATGAACAACATCATCTCCTTCCCTCTGGACAGCTTGCTGAAGGGAGACTTGAAAGGCGTGAAAGGGGTAGGGCCTGGCAGCTGCTCGGGGGTGCGGTGGGAGGGTGGGGGGGTGGTGTTGATGGGATCCCAGTGGGGGGCCCATCAGGGCGGCCGCCACCAGGTCCCTTGACTTGCTGCCCTGACAGTGTGACTCATGGCCCTTCTGGACGTCCTGTGGGTGTTCTGAGCGTGGTCAGAGGGGGGCGACCTGCAGGGAAGGAAACTGCTCTTTGGGGAGCCGGGAAGGATTTCTGGGTTCACGTCTGGTTTTCCAGCTGGTGTTGCACTGCGGGCCCCTGGGGCAGGGTCCTCGCAGGGATGTAGTTCCTGGTGGGAAGATCCGAACCAGTGTGGCTCTAGCCAACTTTATTTTGCCGTTCTCCAGAGGATGTCGTGACTCAGGAGGGGCCACGACCTGAGGGGGGTGGTCTCATGAGTGTGAGTGAGGAGCGGGCAGGGCTCCAGGGGGTGTTTGGGCGCCAGCTGCTGCGCACGAAGTTGCTTCTGCACAGACAGGTGTGCCGGGTTCTCAGGAGGCCAAGGGCTTTGCTTGGGTCGGCACGGGATGCCCGGGGCACATCTGGGCTCGTCTGGAAGCCCAGCCTGGCTGATCTCAGAAGCCTCAGCAGAGGCCTCCTCGTCTCTGCAGACCGCGCCAGGAGAGCTGTTGGGCAGGGAGGGCACACGAGGCAGAGGGAAGAACATCCGATATGTGAGGCTTTAGTGTTGCTTGCAGCCGAGAGTCAGCGGAGTGGGGCGCGAGGCTCAACCGGGTGAGTGGGGCCCATTCACAGAGGGTCTGAGAGTCCCGGCCATGGAGCTGGGGCCTTGACACAGGCCAGTGAAGAGCCAAAAAAATAAAAGACAAGCCCCGCCCTGTAAAAGGGGTTCTGTCTTCCACGAGAACCCTCTTAAAGAGACCAGGAATAGATGGGGACGATGTGATAGAATCTCTAGTAGCTCAGGACGTCTCTGAGCCAGACTTTCTCAGAGTCTGCGGGGTCCCTACGTTCTCGGCAGAAGAGTGGAATCGGGAGACGTGGGGAGCAGGTGGCTGGCTCGCGTATCGTCGGGCCCCATCCGGTTGCGTGTGCTGGGGAGATCTTGGTGTCACTAGAAGTCAGAGACTGCCTGCAGAGTAGACGGCACGTCTTCCCGGGTTTGAGGTCGTCATGCTCCTTGGCAGAGGGTAGGATGTGGGTGGAACGAGGGGTCATACTTGTTACATTTGGGCAACGGGTCCGTGAACCGATTCTCCCTCGCCTTTCCCCGTGTGCGTGTGTTATTCAAAAATAAAAATTTGAAGCATAAAGGAAAACAGAGAATGTCACCGCTAGTCAAACGCAGAGCCTGTGTTGTGAGTTCTTTGTTTTCCCTTTATTACAGAAATCAGTGCTCCTTTTCAGGACTCGTCTAGGGAGAAGTACGTTCCTCTTACCTAGACGTTCGTTAGTCCTGTTTAATTTCTGCCTCTCTTTACAGGATCTGAAAAAGCCTTTTGATAAAGCTTGGAAGGACTATGAGACCAAAATGTGAGTATTTCCATTTTAAAAAATGAACAGGTCATTTGAGACTGTGATCTTAAGTCCGATTGGTTTTATTTTCTGTTTGGTTTTGCTCTCCTGCCTTGGGCATCCATTCAGTAGTGCAGCATCACAAGGCTCAAACCACGGAGTATCAGACCTTGCACACTCGTCCCACTCACAGAAAGCTGAAGCTTCCATGCCCAGGGTTGCTCGGACCCCCAGCCCTGGTCGTACTCCTGGCTGCGTTTATACGGAAGCGCAGAGAGAGTGTTGACCAGAACACCGGAGGCTCCCAGCGCACTACCCTGGCTCAGTAGCATCCTTCCGGCTGCACCCCACTTCAGTCCAGTAAAAGGGGAAAGGATCCCCACTCCTGCTTTCAGATGGGAAGCCAAGAGTTGGTGGTGGCTGCTCGCTGCTGAGGCAGGACAGGAAGGGGGTTCTGAAGAGAGTTCCCGAGAGTCCCCTTGTTCCAAAAGGAGAATGAGATCAAGTTCTGTAAAATCAAGACACACATCGGGAGGCTGGGGTCAGAACGACTCACGAAAACCCAGATTGGCGATCAAGGGAGCAGCACCCTTTAAAACTTGAAGTAGTTCAGTCTGGCCAGTGTGGCTCAGTAGTTAAGCATCAATCCTGCACCAAGAGGCCACTGGTTTGATTCCCGGTCAGGGCACCTGCCCAGGTTGTGGGCTAGATCCCAGTGGGGGGCGCATACAGGAGGCGGCCAATCGATGTTGTCTCTCATCAATGTTTCTGTCTCTCTCTCCCTCTCCCTTCCTCTTGCTCTACAATCAATAAAGGAAAAACAAACTTGAAGTAATTCCAGGATAAATTAAGGGTGTAACTCTTCACCCATTTACACTCGAGACTGCTTTCGCCCAATAAATTTAATTTAAATTTTTTTTTTTTTTATCCTCACCCGAGGACATTTTTCCATTTTTTGTTCAGGTAGAGTGGGAGGGAGAGAGAGGAACAGAGAGAGAGAGAGAAACATCGACATGAAAGGGGCACATCGAGTGGCTGCCACCCGCACGACCGACCAGGGCCAGGGACAAACTGCAACCGAGGTATGCGCCCTTAGCGGGAACCGAACCTGGGCCTCTCAGGACCGCAGGCCGACGCTCTAACCGCTGAGCCAAACCGGCCAGGGCTCGCCCAATAAATTTAAATCGCCTTCGAAATTCCTGGACCCTAGTTCCTACCTGAGTAGTACAGGAATGACTGTCCTGGTCCCTTTGAGGTGGGGACAGGGAGCCCCAGAGAGGTGTGATTGTAGTTCCAGGGACCTGAGGGACTCCGGTCACCCTCCCTGGGATGTGAGTCCATTCTGAGGCATCCTCACCAATGTGTTCATTCATATTCTTATTCAGTTCCCGAGTGCCTACTGTGCACCCAACACTGTGCTTCGCCACAAAATAACAAGAATAGGAAACTGTATTTCTGGTGTCTTTACAAGCCTCCTCCCCGATGATGGGGATCCCTGGAAGCCAAACACGTGGTGTGGAACAACTGTCTAAGAAATGCCACCAATGTCTTCCAGCATCTTCTGTGAGGCTCCCCAGAAAACGCTCCCTCTCTTCGTGGCAGCCTTTGTGTGCTCTCGGGATTCCTGTGGTTTGGCTTAGTCTCCGTTTCTCCAGAATAAAAGTGCAGTTACTGTTTCAAGCCCTTCGTCACTGATGGGGTCTCAGGGCAGCTCCTCACCCTGGTGACCCTCCTTTGGTCCTCCTGTAGCCTGAACCGTTCAGGCAACATAACCAGGTGTGAGGTCACCGTGGAAAGGGCGATGGCGCTTGAAACGGAAAAGCTAGTTTTTCTCCCACAGCGGTGAGCACGCTCCCATCAGGACTCACGGAGGGAGGCCCGGAGGGGAGGAAGAGGGGCAGACAGGTACTGGAGGTGGTGGGAGCCGTCCCTGCGCGCAAGGTGCCCCGTGGACTGCTCGGCGGGCACCGGGCAGGAGGCCCTGGCTGCAAGGCACCTGGTGCAGGGCCCACGCTGCCTCTAACCGGGTCAGGCACAGAGTCGGTGCTGACTCAACAACAAGGCCAAGTTTGGCATTTCCACGACCAAACTCCTTTTCCTTCCCAGTACGTTAGGGGACAGTCCTTATCCCTGCGAAGCCGTCCAGTCTGGATGTGCTGCGAGGCGTCTGCCTCATCCTTGCTTTCCCCCCCCAGAACCAAAATCGAGAAGGAGAAGAAGGAGCACGCCAAGCTGCACGGCATGATCCGCACCGAGATCAGCGGGGCCGAGATCGCCGAGGAGATGGAGAAGGAGCGGCGCTTCTTCCAGCTGCAGATGTGCGAGGTGAGGTGCACGAGCCTCTCGCAGGGATCAGCCCGGCAGTAGGAGCCGTGACTGGGAAGCGCTGTGCGTCCTTCAGACGCAAGGGGGCGGCCGTATTTCATCAGGGTGAAGTCAGGTGGGCATGTGGCAGAAAGAATGGGCTCGCAAAGGGTCTGTGTCAGTGGTTCAGACTGGGCCCTCTGTTTCGGCTCATGCGGGGGAGTCTGTGTGCCGAACCCCTGCAGGGCTGCTGGTTAAAGATGTTCACTGATGCCCTGGCCGGTTTGGCTGAGCGGTAGAGCGTCAGCCTGAGGTCCAAGGAGGCCTGGGTTTGGTTCCCGCTAAGGGCACGTACCTCGCTTGCAGTTTGTCCCCGGCCCTGGTTGGGTTGTGTGGGTGGCAGCCACTTGATGTGTCCCTTTCACGTCGATGTTTCTCTCTCTCTCTCTCTCTTCCTCTCTCTCCCTCCCACACTGTCTGAACAAAAAATGGAAAAGTGTCCTCGGGGGAGGATAAAAAAATGAAATAAAATAAAATAAAGATGTTGACTGAATTGGGAAACACGTCAGCATGCTATTAGCATGTCCTCGAAGTGAGGGGTGGGGGCCAGCTCCAACAGGGGCAGATCCTATGGGGGCGGATGTTACAGGCTGGGTAAATAGTTTATCTTATTGGGAATACACATCTAGTGAATGCCTCTGTGCCAGGGCCAGGTGGTCGTCGGGCCCCGGCCTGTGCCAGGTCCCCAGCTCCGCGGAACCGCCAGCCCTCCGTGCGCCTACAGAACAAGGGGGCGGGAGGGGCGGTGAGCTCGCCGCTTCTAGAGCAGGACGCCTCTGTCGACGGGCGTGGGCCAAGCAGACGGGGTCTGGAAGGGACTTTCCACGGGGAAGGAGGAGCATGTGAAACGCAGCTCCCCGAGAACCCACATGTGCAAATGAGTGGATGATGGCATCCGCAGTCCTTCTAGAACTGCTCAGCCGTGCCTTCGGACGGGTGTCCTCCCGCTTTGTGAACACGAGGCGTTGTCTGGTGTTACGCGTTGCCAGTGGCCCAGGGTCTAGGCTAGTAGAATGGCTTTTCAGGCTTTTATTTGAAGCCATGGAACTTTTTTTTTTTTTTCCCTTCCAGAATGAAGTCTATAAAGAACTTCAATATGCTAAATAGGGCGTGTGTGAACGGAGAAGGTTGGAGAGATCTTGCTTTCTTCTTATGAAAATTATAAACACTTTTAAATATTGGTCAATATAGAAAATGTGAGTGTGTGTGTAATGTTCTACTTCCCAAAGATAACCCCTTTGGCATTTAGCCAACCAGGTTTCACAGGCCTCGATGGGGCTTTCGTGGACATAACTTGTATAAACAGGACCATCCGCTGCCAGTGCTCTGTAACTGGATTATTTTCACGCAGTACGTGCGGGCATCGTGCCGGGTCGGGAAGTCTCTGCTGTATTGGCTGGTGGCTCCATAGCGCTGTCCAGGATGGACACACCACACGCTCATTCCGCCTTTATAGCCTCGGGTGGTGGCCACTGTTCACTTTTATAACCAGGTCTGCGGTGGACCTTCTTCCTTGTTCATCGTTGTAAACTTTCATGGTCACTGTCTCAGAATGAGTTCCTGTCCGGAGCATTTGTAGGTCAAAGGGTACACACAGTTTAAAGTTTGACACATTGCCTAGGATCCTTTTAACCATGTGACCATGTGGGCACATTGCCAAACATCTTACTCAAATAACAGTGAATAAATATCAGGAGGGAGAGGAGGACATACAGGCAGGGGGAAGTCTGTAGCTGGGCTGCCGGACAGGCCTTGACCGTGGGTCCTCCAGCGAAGAAGCCTGTGTGGTCAGCGGGGGTCAGCAGCTCTTCCGGGCCATCCCATCTCAGGGGGGACATATTCTCGGGGTCCTTTCTGCCATATCCTGACAGTGGAGGGAGAGGGAATTTTGGGAGTCTTTGTTCTGTAAACCTCTAGCAGCGAACAGATGTATTTCCTGAAGCTGATTTTGTGGATCCCTGGGGCTTGCTAATGAATTCTCCAAGTTAAAAACAGCTTTAATTCATTCCCATTTAGAATGTGGCTTTTATAACAGTCACATTTTTTTTAAGTATCAGATGGCTGCCTTAGGTGCAGAGACATGCTGACAAGAGACTTAACTGCAAAAGGTGAGCAGCTCGCGTCCTAGGTGGTGACCTGCCTAAAGAAAGGGTCCTGGGACCGAAGTGTGCAGGTGGGAGTGTTCGCGACGCTGAGACCCATTCATCCCGGCCCTCCTCGTTCTTCCGTGGCGCCGGAGCAGAAGTTCCTCCTACAGGGTGGAGATGCGCTGTCTTGTTACTTGGAGTTCTTGGCGCTGAAAGCTAAACATTCAGTTACCTGTAGGTTGGATTGTTCTCACGGCAGCAAACTAGAAGGAACACGTAGCTGTGGATTCGGGAGATACCGAGGCTCCACCATGAGCTCTGCCCACAGCGGGACAAGGCGAGAAACAAGAGGCACCTGCCCTCAGCGCATACTAGACTCTAATCCACTTCTCTCCGTGACATCCCTCTTTTTGTTTGTTTGCTTGTGTTTTAACAGTATCTGCTGAAGGTCAATGAAATAAAGATAAAGAAGGGAGTGGATTTACTTCAGAACCTGATCAAATATTTCCACGCCCAATGCAAGTAAGTCCTTTTTATGATGTTATTTCAAATACTTCTCTCTCTGTGGCGCATTCTGGCAGGTCTGTGTAGCGCAGTGATTTTCGACCTTGTTTTTTATCCCGGGGGCCCCCGTGAGGTGAACGTTAGCAGCACACCAGCACGTGCTTCCCAGTGGTGCTGTTAGGGGAGAGACAAGGTGGTGTCAGAGCACGCTTGCAGGTACTGCATGTCCTCTAAAGCAAACGACGGTGACGGGCACAGCTGTTTGCAGAAGAGAAGAGGAAATGCCCATGTTCGGGCAGCCTCCAGTTCTCAGGGTCGCCGTACCCGGCACACACTGCCCTCACCCCTCAGCCTCGCCGTCTTCCCTGCTCCTCGTCCTGCTTGGACGCCCTGACCCCCAGCTGTACCCGGCACACTCTGGCCCTCGCCTCAGCCTCGCTGTCTTCCTGCTCCTCGTCCTGCTTGGACGCCCTGACCCCCAGCCGCTAACACGAACATTTTTATTGCGTGTGTGCCACGTGTCAAACACTGTCCTCGATGCTGGAGATAACGTCCCCCCCAGGCCTGGCTCCTGCTCGGATCGAGGGGGTCAGGCTAGAGCAGACAGACTTAGAACTGGACGTGTAAGACGCGTTCTGACGCGTAGGAATCTAAGAAAGAAAACAACAGAAGGACCTACTTGAGACTGAGACAGAACGGGCAGGGGTTCCTCTTCTCTTCTTGTCTTTTGTCCCCTGCCGTGTTTCCCAGTGGCTCCTCCTTGTTGACTGCGCTGCAGGCCCCTTTGAGGAGGCACGCGTTCTGAGAGTTCAAGGACGAACAGGCGCTGGCAGAGAAGGGTCAGGGGAAGAACATCCGAGGCAAAGTCAAGGTCTTTAAGCAGGTGACAGGCCAGCGCGACTTAGCACAGCGAGTGAGCAGCCTGCAAGGAACCCCAGGCACAAAAGCGTGAGAGACCTGGACGGCCTTCCAAGGCTTGTGGAAGGTTTTAGGTTTTCTCCCAGACGTCTTGGGAGCTCCGGGCAGGTTTGACGCAAGTTGGTTCCGCCCTGTCTATTGAGCCCCTGCTGGTGACAGTGGAGGGGTGCACTGATGTGAGAAGCCTAGGTCTAGCCTTTCCCCAGCAGGCTGCACCCCCACTGGGGTCCCTCTGCCCACATTGTCCCGTTGTCCCTGTCTCCTAAATGTCATTCTGTTCTCTGTGCCTTCCCCCAGCATCTGTCCCTCCCTGGGACCTCGTTCAGATGCAGCTGCTACTTGGAAGTCATTCTGCTCCTTCCCTGATGCAATTACTTCTCTTACTGTATCTCCTTGGGGACGTCTTTCCTGTTGGTGACGCCCCTCCCTGAACTGTACGCTTTGCTTTGCTTTGTTTTAAGATTTTCTTATTGATTTTTAGAGAGAGAGAGAGAGAGAGGGAAACATCAGTGTGAGTGGAACATCCATCAGCTGCCTCCTGCACGCCCCCTACTGGGGATCAAGCCCACAACCCAGGCATGTGCCCTGCCCGGGAATTGAACCAGCAACCTTTCAGTGCATGGGACGATGCCCAGCCGAGCCACACCGGCCAGGGCATGAACCGTACACTCTTAAGGAAAGGTGCCATGGTGTGGACTTTTTCAGTTGCAGCACATGACACGTTTATTTACCTGGCAAATAGTTGCCGCTGTGACCCACGTGGTTGAATGGAACCGAGGTCCGCTTTGGAGTTCTGGTGCCGCTCTGGCGCAGCGGTGCTTCATCCTGGGTGAAGAGCACCGAGCTGCAGAGGGCCTCGGGGTGGAGACCACCCTCTCGTCGGCAGGGTGGATCGTTTCACAGAGACTCAGCCCTGACGTCGTCGCTAACACACAGATTACTTTTTCAGTTCTTGTCCTTTGGTGAGGCGGTTCAGGAAGGGGGTCACTTCCTTGCTGATATTTTATTCTTTAGAAGCAGCTATTCTTGGATTTCCGTTTTTCTTTTCTTTATTTTGCCCAAACTGATCAGTTGGGTAGCAACAGGCCACTTGTGGAAAAGTTGGCCTTTTATGGACATGAGCTCAGTAACCTTTAAAAATGATGCATCGTCCTTGACTTCCCTTTTGGATGAGTGTGTGTGTGTACACGCTGCATGCTCAAATCATTCCAACGGCTGTGACGGCTGTGACTGTTGGCATTCATTTTTGGGGGACAAATTGTGAGCCCAAGTGACTCAGCTGTTGGACAAAGGAGCCTGTGGCCACGAAGTGTTTATCCATCTGGGTGTTCCTCCGTGCTCCTCCGTTTAACGGTCCGGTCTCCACTGTCACCCCGGAGCGAGTTGCCCCGTGGGCGGGGGTACAGTGCGTGTTCTCGCAGGCTGCCGGCCTCCACAGGTGTGACGAGGCCTGCTGTGTAAGCAGGTAGTGGGAGCCATGGTTACTGTAAGCATTCTCAAAGAGTCCTTCCGAGTTTTGTCTTCTATTTCATTTACAGAAAGAATTTCTGTCTCTACCTAGTTCCTGGATCCTACTCTCCAGTGGGATCTAAAAACAGAGCCACCTATAAAACAACAACAATAAAACAAGACAGTCACGTCCCCAGAGGTGGTGAAAGAAGTGGGGGTGACTTGTTCTTTGGCAAATTTCTGCTGAGAAGCGGTCTGACCGGCAGCTGCCTGGTGAGCCCGGGACACAGGTGAAGGAGATGCAGGCCTGGGGGCCGGGCACAGGCAGCACCAACCAGCGGCCGGGGTGTAGCGTGCCCTCGTGAAGGCCACCCTGCTTGGGGGATCTTAAAGATTGAATCTAAGTGATTATATTCTGGAGACTCGAGGATTTGGTCGGGCGGGCTAGAAAATGTTTAATAAAAAACAAGTTTGGGCTCTCGCCGGGTGGCTCAGTTAGTTGGAACGTGATCCCATGCACCAAAAGGTTGTGGGTTCTATTCCACATCAGGGCACATGCTTAGGTTGCAGGTTTGATTCCCAGTCTCTCCCTCCCTGTGTGTGTGTGTGTGTGTGTGTGTGTCTCATTCCCTCTTGTCTCCCTCTCTCTGTCAAGTCAATAAAAACATCCTTGGGTGAGGATTTAAAACACAAGTGTGAGACGTGGTGATGTTGACGGTGCACACTGTTCGACGTGGAAGAGTGTGAAGGGGCGCGGCACAGGAACAAGTGCCAGGGCTGTGCTTGGGAGTGTCACCGTGGCGACAGCCCGCCCAGCAGCCTCAGGGCCCTTTCGGTGGCACGTTCCTCTGGCCCGGGCTGACTTCATCTCGAAGGGGCACTTAGGTGCTGGAACAGGTCTCAACCCGAGGGTGCAGGAAACCAGAGATCTAAAACCCCAGGGGGAGGCCTTTCCAGGCAGGTGGCCAAGACTGGCTGGGCCGGTGACCAAGGTGAAATCCCAGTCTTAAACCCAAACGCGTGTATTATTCCGAGCACACTGTCCAGGTCACACTGGACAAGATGTCTGTGACGAGAAACACCTCTCCGAGCACGTGACGCCACCCCAGGGCTCCCCCTCGCCGTGGGGACCATCGCCAGCGCAGAGGTGCTTGGAGTTGTGCACCTGCCCGCTCCCCCGGGAGCAGGGCCATTTCCACGTGATCTCCTGCCGGTGTTTCCTATCCCGTGTTCACAACAAGTTGAAGTGATGAAGGAAATCGATATATAAGAATGAATCGGTAACTACGACGAGACCTAAGACACAGATGGATTCACGACAAGCGAGAAGAGCTGTTTCTCGTTCCTGTGTTCGTTCCTCAAGTTCCTCTTCCGTTTGAAAGGAGCACCAGTGCCCTTGCCGGTGTGGCTGGTTGGAGTGTCATTTCACGCACCGGAAGGCCTCGGGTTTGAGTCCCAGTCAGGGCACATGCCTAGGGGTCCGGTTCGATCCCGCCTCCGGGTGCACGCAGGAGGCGCCGATTGCTGTGTCTCCTCTCCCCCATCGATGTTTCTCTCCCCCTTCCCCCCTCTCTGAAAGAGAAGGGGGTACCTGCCACCGCTGGTCAGTGTGCTGGGAGTGGAAGACACTTGGCATTTCTGCCCCATCAGGGGGGACACACACATGCAGAAACCAGTACCACTCTGACACAGCTGTACATCAGAAACATACTGTATTTAAAAAATGAGTTGGGAAAAATATAGGAATGGACCTATAAAATAGTTTGTGGGTAGAGCTACAAATTAAGGTAAGAGAACCTTAACAGTCCAGTTTCTGTGTTTCCCAGTGGCTGGCTGCTAACGGGGCGGAGCCGCCACCTGTGTGTGTGTGTTTCCGTGTGTCCCCCGTAATCACTGTACCAACTATCGTGTTGCACTGTTCCTACGCCCCTCCCGTTGGCTATGCACTTGATGCAGGGAAGTCCCTCGGGACAGTGCTGAGATTAAAGTGATAGATAAACACCACCTCCTATGAACACAGGTGAAACCCAGGTCACTTTTAAATTATCACGCGGATGAGCCCTGGCCGGTTTGGCTCAACAGAGCATCAGCCTGCAGACCAATGAGTTGCGGGTTCAATTCTGGTCAAGGGCACATACCTCGGTTGCGGTTCGTCCCCGGTTCTGATCAGGTCATATGGGAGGCAGCCAATTGATGTCTGTCTGTCTGTCTGTCTCTTTCTTTCTCCCTCCCACCCTCTCTTTCCCCCTCCCACTCTATCTGATGACAAATGGAAAAATATCCTTGGGTGAGGATTAAAAAATAAATAAAAATAAATAATCACACCAATGACTGTAATGGTAGTGTATTTTGAAGCAAAAGACAGTGTGCTACGGCAGAATATAGCAAGGAGACCTCTTAAAATAGAGACTCATGGAAGCTCACTAACGAGATGGTATTGAATTCAGAACTTGAAGACGGGGTGGGAATCTGCCAGGTGAACCAGAAGATATGCTGCAGGGAGAACTTGTTAGAGGGGAGAAATAGCATATGCAAAGGGCCTGTGGCTAGAAGGATTTCGTGGGCAGAGAGAGAGCCTGGTGTGTCTGGAACCTAGTGAACAAAAAGGGGTAAATGTAGATTAAAGCTTGGGGCAAATCACCGAGGCCTTGTCACACAGGGTTTGAACTCTGTTCCTCTCAAAACAGTTACACACAGCATGCTTCAGAGGGGCCCGCTGTGTGTAAAACACCAGCCACTGTTGCTGCAGAAAGCCTGTCTCGTTTCTGTTGTGCTTCGGAAATCATGTGTTTTAAAGGACTTCATGAGCGTTGAGTTCTGCACTTCAAAAACAAAAACAAACAGAAAACAGGTTCCTTTTGATATTTGATCTTAAGTCCCCAGCCACGGTTCCTGACTCCGCAGGTGGGATGTGGCCATTCGTGTGCATCGGCCTTGCTAGGTTTTTCCTGTGTTCTTTCTCTCTTCCACTTAGCTGTCACCTGCCAAGGAAAATGGTTTGTCTTGTTTGCACCCCATGCTTCTCTGGCCTCAGGCTGTCCCAGGCCTGCACCCCAGTCTCTACTGCCTTTATCCTGTTCCCCATTACATACTTAAAACTTGGAGTTCGTTTTATTTTATTTTTTGCTTTATTGGTTTGAGAGAGAGAGGAAGGGAGAGGGAGAGATAGAAACATCAATGAGAGAGAACATCGATTGGCCGCCTCCTGCATGCCCCCCACTGGGGATCGGGCCCACAACCTGGGCATGTGCCCTGACTGGGAATCGAACCAGTGACCTCTGGGTGCAGGGGTCGACACTCAACCACTGAGCCACACCAGCTGGGCAAAAATGGGATTTGTTTTAATGGGTCAAGAAAAATCACAAATATTTTGGCTTCTTGCAGTTCCTTTCCATTCAGCCCTCGTAGTTTTGAGTGTCTTTTTATTCTGGCAGTGAGTTCAGGTTTGATTCACAACAGTCTTTTCCCCCCAGGAGTTACTACATGATGGTTTCAGTCACTTTCCTTTAAAGAAGTTTCCTCTCCATCTAACAACGTGGACTTCTGTGAAACACAATCTGTGTTTGTTTCTTCCCTCCTAGTTTTTTCCAGGATGGACTGAAAGCAGTTGAAAGCCTCAAACCTTCCATTGAGACACTTTCAACAGACCTTCACACAGTGAGTAGCCTCCCTGCCACCCCCGTGTTGAAACGATGTCTGTGCAACAGACTTCTTCATGTACATGTTCCATGTTCTGTGTCATCTTGAGTTTGCTTCTGGGCCGCCCAGGAATTAACAGCCGGGGCCTCGCGGAGTACGGAGTCCCCACTCCCATGCTCTGTCTGGCTGAGGAAGGTTTGACTGGGGGGGGCGGGGGGGCAGGTATCATTGATGTGGGAATGCCCTGTGGTCTCCAGCTTCTCGCTGTGCCTGAGTCTTGCCTCTCTCCTGTTTTGTTGTTTGAAGATCAAACAGGCCCAGGATGAAGAAAGAAGGCAGCTGATACAGCTTCGAGATATTTTGAAGTCAGCGTTGCAGGTTGAACAGAAAGAGGTGAGGGGATTTAATATGTGAATACCATGTCCCGGAGGCTTTGGGACTGTGGAAGGCGACATCCGTGTCTGCCAGGTGCACACAGACCCCTCTCGGGCTGCATCGAGCAGCCCTGGAGCATGCAGCTTGTTCTTCGAGAGTGGTTTTATCAGACCGTCTGTTTAAGTTTCTTTCACGGGGAAGCACTTCTGTGGGGTGCCCTGATGGCAGTGTGCAAAGCTTTCTGCTCTGTTGGTTTTGAGACGAGTAGCTCTTAGCATCTCTCAGGTAGACACTCTTCAGTTATGTCACTGGTTTTCTACCTGAACTCTGGTTTCCTGGCTCAAAGAGATGTAGACACTGCCCATGTGGGCATCAGCGGGTAAGGGTGGCCGTCTGAGTCTCCCACCCCTGCATTAGGTGAGGGTGTGGAGAAAAGGGGACTCTGGTACACGGCTGGGGGGAATGCAGACTGGTGCAGCCACTGTGGAAAACAATATGGAGTTTCCTCAAAAAAGTAAAAATGGAACTGCCGTTTGACCCAGTGACCCCACTTCTAGGAATATACCCTAAGAAGCCTGAAACACTGATCAGGAAGAATATGTGTACCCCCATGTTCATAGCAGCACTATTTACAACAGCTAAGATCTGGAAACAGTCCAAGGGCCCATCAGTAGATGAGTGGATAAAAAGCAGTGGTGCATATACACAGTGGAGTACTATGCAGCTGTAAGAAAGAAAGATCTCTTACCCTTTGAGACGACATGGAGGGACCTAGAGGGTATCATGCTGAGTGAAATAAGCCAAGCAGAAAAAACAAGTAGCTGTCGAGCAAAACAGACCCAGAGACATGGAAGCAGGGAACAGACTGACAAACCTCAAGGAAGGGGAGTGATAGGCGTGGGAAGAGATAAACCAAAGACCTTATATGCATATATGCATAACCCATGGACACAGACAATAGTGTGGGGAAGGTCAGGTTGGGGGATGAGAGCAGAGTGGAAGGGAAAAAAGGGGGGAACATATATATAATACTTTCAATGATAAGGATACGTTTTTTTAAAAAATGAAGAGCTGGATTCTCTTATAGGTACATTCTGATGGGCAGAAAACCTGGTATCATCTCTCATATAACCACTTTTCCGCATGCCAACTCATCCACAGGGATACTTTGTGCTTTGGGGGCTTGTTTAAAACAAAATAAAGCATTAAAATCAATTTCTAAGGTAATTTGATTATATGTTTGCTACAGTGTGGATATTGTAACATGCAATTTAACATAAATCCGCTTCCTTGTAATAAAGGAATAAATCTGAATGTATCACTTGTAGACTTTAGATAAATAACTGTTAAAGTACTCGGTAGACATAAAGTTCGCTGTCGGTGGTTTGTTCTGCTCAATTTTGTTTTAAGTTCCTGTACTATAACTGAATATTGTTGTTTTTCTCCCAAATGCATTTACCTTTTGTGACCGAAGTCTAGGAGAGTAAGTAGTTCAGTTTTTTAATAAATTGGAGAATGTGCATGCTTTCTTCATGAACTTCCCAAAAAATGGTTTCTTCCATGTATATGTTAACAACTAGAGCATTTTAAATGTAATCCCTTCTCTTCCCGTAGCAGTGGGCTTTATTAAAGGCCTCAGAATTTGCCCTGGCCAGTTCGGCTCAGCGGTTAGAGCGTTGGCCTGAGGTCCTGAGAGATCCGGGTTCGGTTCCTGCTAAGGGCATGTACCTCGGTTGCAGTTTGTCCCCGGCCCTGGTTGGTCGTACGGGAGGCAGCCACTTGATGTGTCCCTTTCATGTCGATGTCTCTCTCTCTCTCTCTCTCTCTCTCTCTCTCTCTCTCTTTCTCTCTCTCCTCCTCCTCCTCCTCCTCCTTTCTCTCCCTCCCACTCTACCTGAACAAAAATGGAAAAATGTCCTCAGGTGAGGATTAAAAAATAAATAAAAGCCTCAGAATTTGAATGCACAGATATTAGTGAAATGGAATTTCTAAGTTTACAGTGTACCCATTTGCTGTTGATCTTTGTGAAAATGAAGCCAACCCCCTGTCCCATTTCCCAACCGCCGCACTTCATAGCTGAATTCAGCTCATCCCTGGGCCACCTTAGGCCCTGTGCCTGGGGTGCCGCCCCTGCTCACCCCGCCCAGGGCGGTGAGTTCACGGAGCACACCGTGTGCGGAAGGCTGGTCCCGGCACACCGCAGTCTCTGGATTGGGGGCTGTGGCTGCCATCTCAGCAGACGCTTTTTCTGCAGCGCGACCTTGAGCCGCCTGAGGGTGCCCTCGGGGCCTTCGGCCATCCTGTGGTGGTACCTTGTTGCTGGCTGAGAAGACTCTTGGTGAACTTGGGCCAGCTAAGCCAGAGGTTGGCAGGTTGAGGTTACATGTTAGTGCTAGAAGTGACCCACAGCCTGGTGACTTCCTCCCAGTCCTGAGACTACACATCCTGATGCTTTGATATTCCCAAACTTGGAACAGAAGCAGAAACAAAAAGAGCCTGGAGTGTGGAGAAAACAGTGTCTGAGTGTCACAAGAAGAGAGCGCGCTAGGTGTGGGAGCCAGACCTTGGGGGCAGCCGCTCCCTGGGGCATCGGTGGGCGGCGAGCGGCGGCCAGCGGCGCTTTGTCCGTGAAGGAGGGTCAAGCCCTGGGAGGAGCTCTGAGTTCAGACAGGGGAGCAGACGGCGGTGCTGGCACTCAGGCGTGCTGGGCGCAGGGCAGGGGCCGTGTTGCTTTGGCTGCGCAGAATGCAGGGGTTTGGGAAAACGCTTTGTCAGGGGCTGGGTATTTATAGCCTCGCAGAGAAGCGGAGCACAGTTGTGGTTTGTGTTTCGTGTTTTTGTGGACCAGCCCGCCTCCCCAGATTGCACGCGGGGGTCGAGCAGAGCTGCTTGACCGCCCTGCCCTCGGCTCCGCTGAGACCAGACTCCCCAGGCCTCTGGCTGCGGGCGCAAACTGCAGAAATAGCCCCGCAAGCAGGCCAGCTTCCCTCTGCCTCGCCGCCTTCTTTTTGAAGGTGATATTCCATGAGTGGGACCGTCTGTGGACATTGTTGCAAGTGAAGCCAAATGTGTATAAGTTACATTTTATATATTTTAAAATGACGTTTACGCCTGGGGTTCCCACCTTGTGCTCTTCCAGTGATGACGAGAATGGACAGTTTGGGCATCGTTATCGGGTTCTCCTTGCTCTGCTTTGGATTTTCTTGTGTGACTTAGAAAGTTAAAGGTGTTGGTGTTTATTATTCAGTGTTACAAAAACTCTAATTCTGACTACATAATCACAGTTGATAAAAATTAGGGAACATGCCCCCGAGGAAGCTGTGTTGATGGTTGGCAGCCCGCCGTCGTCTGGCCTGGGGAGGTGCGCGGGCGGCCCTGACGGCCGCTGGCTTCGGGCTGCTCCTCGCCGTCACCCTGCGTCTGTGCTTCGGGAAGGAGACCGTGTCATTATGACCTCACACCCCCGAATGACTGGCGTCTGTATTTTGTTTCTGATATTTTTGTTCTCTGTTAAGAGGGTTTTCCCCTTGTTACGAAAATGTTCAGACTTACAGACGCGTTGGAAAACTGCAGTGAGCCACCCATGGATGCACCCGGTTTTAGCACCTGAGGAAGTTCCTTCCGCAGAGTGGAAACCTCTCCCCACTGTGATTTTGCACGAGCCGTCGCCCGCCTTCTCCACCTCACGTGTCCGTCTCGGTGTGGCTGGGTGATGCGTCAGGATGGGGGGACGGGGGGGACTCGGGGTGCCCTTGTCTGCCTGTGCCCTCACCTCCGCCAGGGGTCCGCTCTCCATCGTCATGGCAATTCCTTCCTCCTTGCCTCACTTCTCAGGTCTGCCCAGGCACCCGACAAGGTGGCCCGCGATCGTGCGGCACCTCACCGGGCAGGGCTGGTACCCCGTACCCACCCTCTGAGAGAGAGAAGACAAACGCACTGACCCCTGGCCTGTTCCACTGTGAGCCTGTTCTCTCTCCATTGTACTGTGTGACTTTTATAGCTTGTGTCAGGCAGCGTCTTGAAAAAATGTACCCGAAATACGGAAGATGGGTGGTAATGAGGCCTGAAGACACCGTCCTTAGACGGTGCCTTAGGGCGCACTTGGCAGAGCCTCCCGCAGCTGGTTGTGTCCCTTTGGGGGACACACCTGTCACACCTGGGGAGGACGGGGCGTGAGTTGGACATCACAGCCCTCCCTTGACAGAGGAACTTCAAACATCCAGAAGTGACTGCTTGACAATCTGTTCATCACAAAAGGTGACTCAACACAGACTTTGAGGGGAGGACGGATACACGGTAAACGTTTTCTTATGATCTTTTTTTTCTTTCTTTATTGATATTAGAGAGAGAGAGGATGAGAGAGGACATTAACTGGCTGCCTCCTGCATGCCCCCCACTGGGGATTTGGCCCACGATCTGGGCATGTGCCCTGACCAGGAATCGAACCAGTGACCTCTTGGTTCATGGGTTGACGCTCAACCACTGAGCCACACTGGCCGGGCTGATCTTTTTTTTCGAATCCTCACACGAGGATATTTTTCTATTTATCTTCAGATAGAGTGGGCGGGAGGGAGAGGGAGAGAGAAACATCGACGTGAGAGGGACACATTGATTGGTTGCCTCCCGCATGACCCCACCCAGGGCCGGGGACAAACCACAACCAAGGTACATGCCCTTCACTGGAATCGAACCCGCGACTCATTGGACCGCGGACCGACGCTCTAACGCTGAGCCAGACAGGCCAGGGCGGTGATGGTCTGAGGGAACTAGGAGTCACTTCTCATGTGATGAGTCGACCTGTCTGTGTGAAGTACATGCACCCTCCTCCCTTTCTCCGCCGTTCCCAAAGATCTCAGATGGGTTCCTGCCTCGGCAGTTCCCGATGGCTAACACTCCATCGGGCCGCAAGCCTTCAGAGCCTGGACAGCGCCTGGAAGATGAGAACGTGTCCCGTGTCGCAGGGAGAGGCTGTGTGGATGTTGATGGCCCTTCGGGAGCCTTCTGAGGCTCCATAGAACGAACGCCTGCTTCGCCGGCGCGTACAGGCAGCCTCCACGCGGCGGGGCTCCCGGGGTGCGGTCTCAGGTCGTCCCGGGCTCTCCGGGGACACACTCGTGCGTCCGAGAGTCTCTGAGAATCAGGGCAGCGTGGACCCCCGCCCCCCAGCCAGTTGCCTCTGTGTTAGGTTCTTCTCTCCCCAGATCAAAAGGCTCTTCCCGGGATTGTACTCCATTAAATTTGAGTCTTGGTTATGTGACAGGGCCCCTTCCTCCGTCACCCTTCCCATGATCGGGTGTTACAAAAAAATACCTGTAGAAACAGGTGAAGAAAGGCTATTTTTGTCGGGCCACTGGAAGTCACCTTGACGACGCTAAAATCATTCTGCAGCAGGTTCAGTTCCGCGGTGAATTGTGTTGCCGTTATGCAGAGTCTACGTTTTACAGCTTCAGATTTGCCTCCATTTCTGATGGCTTCAGGAAATGCCTGGTCTGACGACTAAAACAGTCATTTCTTCCTCCCCTCTGGCAGAGGGTCTCATTCTGTCGGAAAGAGGGGTGTCGTCCGTGAGACCTGTCAGGAGCTGGAGTGATAAGCACAGCGGCGCGGTCCTGTGACGGTACCGCTGGCTGGTGCCGGTTTTCCTCCCTGTCAGTAGACATTTGTTGGTTGTGCAGTTTAGTCTTTTGACAGGTCTATTTTTAGTCTTTCACGGAGATGCATGTAGGTGAGCAGCATTTCTCCCTTTCCCCTCCACTGCGTCCATTCCCAGGGATGTTCAAGCCTGGGTTTCCTGCTCGGTGCGGACAGGCCGCCCTTCTGAGAGGACGTGGGAACGGACAGCGGCCCCGTCCGAGGGGCGAGGGGCTCGCCCTCTTCTGGAAGTGCTGGGTGCACTCCCCGTGGAGAAGGGGGCGTCTCCCCTGCACTGGGGCCTTTGTGTTCAGGCTTTGTTTTCAGTGCAGTAATGGAACACCTGAGCACACTGATTTCTCGGTGAAAGATTTTTTTGGTTTTACTTTTGCGGAGTTATCCCATATATATATTTCAGAGTTAAAAAGTCAGTGCTGGACAACCCCTGTCTGTGGAACGGGAGACGAGGTGGTGAAGGCACCAGGATTCCCCGGATCAGTCTGCAGATCCCACGCAGCCCTCCCCAGAATCCCAGCTGTCTGCAGAAACTGACAAGCTGATGTTAAGACGTATTTGGAAGTGCAAGGGCCCCGGGGTGGCCAAAACAATCCTGAAAAAGAAGAACCCAGTCGGAGGACTGCTCATGCTTCTGACTTCAGAACTTCCCACAAAGCTATCACAATCAGGATAGTGTGGTGCTGGCTGAGGATAGACCTAGAGCGGTGAAATAAAATTGAGAATCTAGAAGCAAACCCTTACATTAATGATCACCTGATTTTCAACAAGGGTGCCGAGACAGTTCAATGAGGAAAGAACAGTCTTCCACCAGTGATGCTGGGACAGCGAGAAACCACAACAGAAGAATGCACTGGGACCCCTACCTCACACCGTTATCAAAAATTAACTCAAAATCGATGATCAAAGAGCTCCACGTAAGAGCCAAAACTTTAAAACTCTTAGAGGAAAACAGGTATAAATCTCCATGACCTTGGTTTAAGCAATGGTTTCTCAGATATGACACCTGAACTAGAGACAATAAGAGAAGCAGTCGATACATTGGACTTCATCAAAATTAAACAGTTCTGTGCTTCAGAAATCCTTTTTAAAACGGCCAAGGACCCGGTGGCTATAACTGACTCAAGCCTACCTGTCTGTCCCTTCTACCAGTGGCCACTTCACAAAAGCTACACAGCGTGTCCTTATTTCCGTGGAGGGCTGCCACTTCCCTCTCCACGCCTCCGCGTGCGTCCCCTGTGCGTGGACGCCCTCCCCTTGCTCCCTGCCACGTCTTGCTTCATGGGTAAAGCTCCCCCTCTCCACGCCCTGTGCTTTTCCCGGTCGGCTCTTCACTTGGAGAGTTCAGATCACGTTGATTGTTGTGTGTCAGTTCTTTCGTCTTTTGGGCAGTGCCCAGTTCCCCCAAGGACAGTCTCGGGCTTGGTGGTGGAGGTGAGACCGGCCGTCCTCTCTTGGGAGGACACATGTGAGGGAAGGAGCGTCCACGTGGGAGGCGGGATTCCCTTCTGCACTCGGCTCTGGCTCGACAGGCTCCGCACCTCAAACAGATCACTCCTGTCATTATGTTTCTCTCTCCCACTACGAAGTGAGCGATGGGGGTTCCAACAACAAGTGGGGCCGACCCTCGCCCGCCAGGCTGACCTGGAAACTCGTGTCCACGTTTCATTCCCTTCGCATCCGCCAGCATTTCCAGCACCCGCGTGGCAGCCTTTCTGCGCTCGTCTTCTGCTGTCGTCTCTTGGGCACAGTTGACACCTGTTGTGTGCCCGGGGTTTCCCTGATGGCCCTTGGGAAGCTAGAGGCTGGAGTTTCCCAGGTGTGGTGGATTCTACCAGGTTCCCAGCTCTCGGAGCGGACGGTCCACGCTGAGGCTGAGGGGGCTTCGGGGCCATGCCGCACTCCGGGGATTTACGGGGCCGGGGATGATGTTGTTCGGTACCTGTCCTGTGCCAGGTGGTCACACGTGTGACCTCACTCACACCTTACTCTCCTCACCTTCCTTACTGGGCACTGTTTTCCTGTTTTCCGCGGAGGAAACAGGCAGGGCGCTGACGCATCTTGCCTGAAGCGAGAGGAAGAACATCGAGGTGTGTCCGTCGGTTTGCGCGAAGGGGCAGAGTCCAGAGCGCTGCCCGTTGACGGTGTAACACTCACAGCGAAGTGAAACCTGTCACTTCCAAGGGGCTCACTCTTTGGGCCAGTTTTGAGATGCTGGTTTTTGCTATTTCCTTCTCCAGCCTGGTAGGTGGCCTTTATGAGTTCCTGAATATGAATTTTTTTGTCTTCTTTTTCTTTTTTTTTTTTTAATTTTGGTGTGGTAAGAAAGGGAAAGATCTCTAATTTAAAAAAAATGTTTGAAGGGCATAAGTTGCCTCTGTGTACTGGTGTTTTCATAACTGGAACCTGGACAGGAGTAAAACCAGCTCGCTGACCATTTTCAGGACTCCCAGCTCCGCCAGAGCACCACCTACAGCCTGCACCAGCCCCAGGGGAACAAGGAGCACGGGGCCGAGCGCAGCGGCAGCCTCTACAAGAAGAGCGATGGGTAGGTCTGGCCGGCGGGGCTCACTCGCGTCTCTCCCTCCGGCGTCAGATTTCTAAACCCTTCTTCTTTTCCCTCCATTTCTCTGGAAGGATCCGGAAGGTGTGGCAGAAAAGGAAGTGTTCCGTTAAAAATGGCTTTCTGACCATATCGCATGGAACCGTAAGTATCTCTGTGAGCTCCCGGACCCTGCTGCGGGGAGTCGAGGGGCGCGCTCCGTGGGGCGAGAGGACACGGTCGCCCTGCGTGTGTCTTGCGTGTGTGTCTTGTGTGTGTCATGGCATTAGGGACGTCTTTTAAAGATGTTCCCTGCTGCCTAGCTGGTGTGGCTCAGTGTGGATGGAGCGTCGTCCCATGGACTGAGAGGTCTCGGTTCAGTTACAGGTCAGGGCACATGCCCGGGTTGTAGGCTCGGTCCCCAGTAGGGGGCGCACAAGGGGCAGTCAATTCATGTATCTTTCTCACATTGATGTTTCTCTCTCTCTCTCTCAAAATCAATAAAAACCTATTAAAAATAAAGATGTTCCCTGCTGAGAAAAGTTTGGGCTCCTCCAGCCGGGGAGAGCCAGGTCAACCTTCATTACCCACAGGCAGGTGCTGTTTGCCCCAGAGCCTGAGGCTTCTAGAGACAGTCATGAAGCCAGCACAGTCTCCCAGCCATCTGTCTCTGGACACTGAACGTCACCCTTGGGACGCTTTCTACTTTTCCAATCACGTTTACATGGTCAGGACTCTGGGAATCAGAAATCCCAGAGGAGAGAGATGACAGTCATTTCTTTCTAGAAACCCAGGGCGCTGCACCCAGCCTTAATCAAGTCCTTGCTCAGGTCACCTTCCCTGGTGTGATGGAATCGGGGGACCACCCTGTCGGCTGGTGGACGTGTTTTAAAGAGTCTACAGGCAGAGTTGGTTGCTATCTCGTTGCTGACGAGAGTACTGGTGATGGCTGGCGCTTAGCTCCCCAAGCCGGGGGCTGGTACTGGGTGCGCCTGGGCGGCCTCAGTCCTGGGAGTGACGGTAGTGCAGACCCCTTGGCCTCCCTCTCCTGCCCTCCCGAGTGTCCCAGTGCCCCTGTGAAAGGCAGCCCTGGGCAGGACACAGACAGGCTCCTCGGGGTCTATAGAAAGGTCATAGCTCAGAGTGGCGTCTAGAGAAACAGCCCCTCCCGGCACCCAGGAACTTGAAGGTGACCCAGCGGCAAGGGCTGTGTTCCCTTGGGGACAATCATTCTCCTGAGTCTGCTGTGGGAAGAGACGGCAGGACTAGCACGTGTCCAGTGCCGTCCTTAGAGATCTCACGGCCCAGCGGATGGACTGTCTCTCTCACCTGAGCAGAGGTCAGCTCTTTTCCCCTGCCCAGCCCCACTGCTTGCTGGGATCCCCATGCGCCCGGGCCGCGCAGCTGGGACCCCAGTGGGATGTTTGTTCCGTATAGACACGGGCCCGTGTGTCTGGGTCTGTGCCATCGACCAGGGGAAGCACCTTCATTCAGTCCCCATTCCTCTAGACGGGGTGATGGCCGGGGCCCTTCCCACTCTGGCATCTGTGTGGTTCGCTTTCCAGTTGTTTTCCCTCAGGTCCACCGCCTCGGGGCAGAAAACCTCCCCAACTCAGACCGAGTGTCATGGTAGGCTTGCTCCGAGCTCCGAAGGCACTCGGTATGTTCGCTTCACTGGACTGTTTTGCTAGACCCGGGGCCTCAGCTTCAGCCAGAGAAGTAAAAACAGGCCTGGGGATGCTCTGCTGACCGCAGACACGGGTTCGAGTCCTGCCACGACTTGAGCCGCCTCTCAGAAGACGTGTGGGCTTGTTTCCTGTCCGTCTCCACGGGCTGCCCTGGGTTGGGGCACAGAGTAGTTAGAGGTAGCTCCAAAGTTGCAGACAGCTCAGCTGGTCACCCCCTTGCATACTTAATGAGCTTTGTGGTTGTGGGGAACCCTGATCAGGGAGTCTCTGCTCTCTGGATGCTCGTCCTGCCTTGCAGCCTGGGCCGAGAACAGTCAGAGGAGTGGCAGGTAGGGGCCTGTCCCCGGCTGGGTGGCCCTCCTCCCCGTGCAGAGCGCCCCCCAACCTCCATGTGTCCACATGCAGCGACATGCATTAACCTCAGCCGACAGCTAGAGTGAGAGGTGCCTTTTTGTTTGGATTTGGCTCCTTGTGATAGCCTGCTGTTTCGCCAGCAGCTCCCTGACTTTGCTGATTTTACCATCGGGGGAAGGGGGGCGATTTCTCACAGACTTGAGGGTGCGACTGGGAGCCTGCGCGCAGCGGCTGGCGCTCCGCCGGGAGTCGGGTCTTAGTGTCAGGAGCGCGATGCGTGGGCACTGGTAGGAAGACCCGTTTCTTCCCAGGCAGCCTCCGGGAGAGGAAACCGCCCGTTCATGTTCTCGCAGGATCGGCGCTAACAAAGGAATGATTTGGTGAAAGCCCCGGTTGGGGTCCCCCATTAGCCAGGGCTGACTGCCTCTGGGCACTGGGCAGAGTGGTCCGTCGGACAGAATAGCTCTAATTAGACTGGGGACTGTTAAACTGGACATGTGTCTCCTGGTTACACGATCTGAATTTATTAAAGCAGTTGTCAACCATGCAGAAGGAAGACCCCAGACTTCCCCGTACAGGCCTGACAAACGGGAAAAATAGAGCAGCGTGGGTGAGACGGAGCTTCGCCAGGAATCCGGGCCTTTGCGGCAAACAGTCTGTTTTTACTCCGTCCCGGGCTTCTGCTAAACCGGGGCTTCTCAGGTCGGCTCTCTGGGAGCGCTGATGTCCGATGAGTTACATAGACCCATCCTGTAGACGAGTTCAAGGATGACACCATTCTTCTGTATTTACCAAAGTGCACCAGCCCCTTTCGCTGCCCCGTGTCCGAGACCCAGTGGCCGCCAGCACTTTGCAGGTCGGCCAAGCACAACACCTTCATGCACACAGCCAGTGTGCGGTCACGGGAGGTAACGGAAGAGACACAGCCTTTACATGGGCCGGACACCCGTGTTAAAAAGTGCTTAGATGTTCATGGTGTGGGCTCCTACCCAGCACTGTAGAAATACTGCGTGGGGCAAACCTAAGTTTACAGTTGTTTGTATGGAAAACAGTACAGTACCTAATAAATAATAATACAAGAATAACTTTGTGTGCTCACAGCTGTAAACCTGCTTTGCCCACCCCTGTATGGTGTGTGGGTTCCCGCACGAGCCAGGTGGTTCTTCTATTGGTAACGATCCACAGTTGGATTAGTGGTGCATTTCCTGGGCATTGTCCAGGTGTGCAGGACTGGGCAGAGGTTGGAGCCTTCGTACACTGGTTCCGGGCGGTCCAGACACTCTGATAGGCATTTCTAGACCGTGGAGGATAGTCAGTGACCCCGTCTACGAGGTCAGGTCAACATGACCACGATCCTGCAGAGTCTAGCACAGCCCTTAATTCTGCTTATCCGGACAGACTTCCTTTCATGGAACCCAGGCAGGTCACACTGCAGGGACCTGTCCGGTGTCAGTGGAGAGGGGTCCACAAATGCTTGAGGATCTCAAGGTCAGCCCCAGTGTAGACGTGTGTGTGTGTCGTCCATCCATCTATTAATCCCAAATCCAAGCTTTCCCAGGTCCTGACACGGCTGGTGGCCTCAGGGAAGGGTGACGAACACGGGACGTCCAAGACGTTTCATCCGACCTTTCCCTTAGCAGCTTGGTAGGTGGGAAAGATAAGCCCGTTCGTATCGGGAGATTTTTTCCCCCGAGATTTCCGAGAGGCGTTTTGCCAATTAGAATATTTTTCTGAAATTCTCTTCTTACCCTCCGCATTTTGCTTCTTTGGATGAAATAGGGTATTTTTTGGGAAATTGTAATAATAGTTATTTTGACACATTGCTGATAAAAATATATTGTGACGACTTGTTACCCTTGTGTGTCTGTGGGAGGTGGCGAGGGGCACCGTACGTGAATGAGGTTTGTTTTGTGGGAACTCAAGCGACAGATGGTTGGCACTGAGGATTACGAATCTGTTATCTGTCATCACTTCAGGAAACAGGGAAGATTATTTCTCTGTCATTTCTGTGCTGTGACATTGCTTCTCATGGGAGTGTTTACGCTCAGAAAAATACTTGTAAGATGACCAGAAATTGAGCTGTGTGCCCACGTCACCTGGGTAGCCATCTGTGTGTCAGTAGGGGTCAGAACACAACATCTCGGGCTTTAGCCATGGAGCATATTGGTCTCAGGGAGTCCACTGCCATTGACCTCGAGGCCAGCGTCCCTTGTCGCCCTGTCTGGCTGGGTGTTGGGCCACTGAGTGTCCTCACAGGGAGGACCAGCTGCCCTTTGTGGAGCCGAGCTTTGAGGACGTGCTGTGATGTGCCTCTGTCGTGGGCTCCTGTGTAAAACCTGTCTTCAGAAAGCTGTCTTTGCAAACTAGGGGGAACCCTGCTCTTGCTGTATTTTAATGGGGAGTGATACTGTGTGATTAATGAGGAGTGATACTATGTGATTAATGAGGAGTGATACTATGTGATTTTCTCATCTCTCCTACCCATCTCCGTGTTTTATGTGTCCCCCCCACCCCCAAACAGGCTAATCGGCCTCCTGCAAAGCTAAACCTGCTAACATGCCAAGTGAAGACCAGCCCCGAGGAGAAAAAGTGTTTCGACCTTATTTCACGTAAGTTTCCTGCTCAGACCCTGAGCCACAGAGGGTCATTCTGGACTGTCCTCCCGGACTTGCGCCTCGTTCACGCAGAGCCTTTTACAGAGTCGGTGTGGCGGAGACATGCCGGTGTCCCGGGTGACATTCGTGCTTGCTCACCCCTCCGGACGATTGGCCTGCTGGCCCTGACTGCCCACCGCCCTGCTCTGCTCCGGGCTCTGTAAACGCAGACCAGCTCCCGGCCTCCGTTTTCCTGTGTGGAGATTATACTGGATCAGCCTCTAAGCCTAAAATCCCTTCCCCGCCTTCCAAAAAGGGCGATTCTGTCGTGGGAGCCTCTGGGACCCACCCGGCGACGTTAGGAATGCTGGAAAGGAAAGGATGCATCTCCCGCAGGCCCGGGAAGCTTTTGTTGTTGAAATCAGTCTGTCTGCCGACCACAGGGCATCTTTCTGCCTCCACGTGGGTTTCCCTCGGGGCCTGCCCGCGAGCATCGCCGCAGACCGTCTGCCGGGGTGACTGTTCGCTCAGCGTCCCCTGCGGAACAGGGGGAGGGACCGTGAAAAGCCACGCGAGGATGGGCGCTGTGTGGGGCGGTCCCTAGTGCCTGGGCACAGGCGCGACGTTCGTAGAGGAAAACTGGCCGGCGCATATTAGGAAGGGTGCTGGCTCATGGCTCCATGTCCCCAGGCGCGGGCAGCTGCTGCTCGAGATCCCTGTGGGGCTGTTACCGAGGACCCAGAACTTACTACTGTATAATTTTTTAATGTGTTTTTATTGTGGTTTTTTTTTTTTAGAGAGAGATGGAAACCAATGTGAGAGAGAAACATCCACCGGCTGCCTCCTGCACGCCCCCTACTGGGGATCGAGCCCGCCACCTGGGCACGTGCCCTGACTGGGAATCGAACGGGACCTCTCAGTCCATGGGATGATGCTCAAGTCACTGAGCCACTCTGGCGGGGCTGTTTACTATATAACTTAACACTCGCGGCAAACTCATCTCCACCTCGTAAGGTGAGGAAGTGGAGGCCCGCGGGGTGAACCCACGCACCCCGTTTTCCTGTTGCCACGCGCTCAGTCCTGACTGAGACCCAGGAGACCCCTGAGCGCTGTGACGCGGGGAAAGGGTTTGGGTGAAAACCACTCCCGGGAGAGGGCATGTTCGCGCCTTCTCAGGGGCGCAGGTGTTCTGAGTGCCTCCCCAGGAACAGTCACTGCTTGTCACTGCTCTGCCATCTGGAGCAGAACAGAGCGAGCACCTCCATTCCGCTTCCTTTCTGCTCTTTAAATTTAACATTCTTTTTCCTCTTTGTTTTGGGCTGATTGTGGACCGAAGCGTGTCCGGACGTCCCTCATTCAGGTCCCCCGATACAACATCTTAGTACAGTTGTTCAAAGCACATTGCACCTGTTATCAGCATATGAACAGCTGTCACAACCAGGAAATGACTGTTGGTGTGATGCTGTGAACTAAGAATCTTACTCAGATTTCACACTTTTTCCTCGGTGCCCCTGTTCTGTTCCAGGGTTCTCTCCAGGGTCCCCCAGTGCAACCAGCCAGTGATTTCTTCCTAGTCTCCTAAGGCTACAGCTGTTCCGAAGGCTTCCTTGACTTTCATCACCTGGGTACTTTTTTTTTTTTTGAAGCGTATTGATCAGTTTTATGGTCATCGGTTTTTGGGTCTTGGCTGCTTTCCCGTGACCGAGGTTGTGTTTTGGGCAAGAACAGCACAGTACGTACTCTGTCCTCTGCGTACAGGGGCCAGAGGCCCAGCAAAACCTGGTGAACGTTGCCGAGGCCGGCAGTGCACGGTGTCAGGTGTTTGGCCCCATTGTTACTGGACAGTCCCTCTTGCTCTCACTGTGTTTGTGACATGCACTCCCACAGTGTGTCGTTGTTAGAATTTTCATGATCTTTTTTTAAAAAGGTCAGAAAATGCCTGGAACACTCGCTTTGGAAAAAGCTTTTACTTTTCAAGGGGCCTTAACAATTATTTGGGGGTGGCTAACTCTTTAGCAAGTGTAAGAGAACTAAAGCTTTTGAAAGGCTGTTGATGGCCCGGCCGGTGTGGGTCAGTGGTTGGGCATCGACCCTGCACCAAGAGGTCGCCGGTTCAATTCCCGGTCAGGGCACGTGCCCAGGTTGTGGGCCCGATCCCCAGTGGGGGGCATGCAGGAGGCGGCCAATCGATGTTCTCTCTCATCGGTGTTTCTCTCTCTCCCTCTCCCTTCCTCTCTTTCTAAAATCAATAAAGGGGGAAAAAATGTTTTTTAAAAAAACAAAGCTCAGGTTTTGGGAGCTGCATTGCTTAGACTGGAACCGAGGGACAAGCCAGTTCCTCTGTTTGGATTTTGAAGCCACAATTACCAAGCAAGGGCAAGCATGTCAGGGACACGAGGGGGTGCTTGACTTCATACGGATCGCTCCCTTCCCGGTGCAGAGCCCAGGTCACTCCTGGTCAGCCACGTCGGGAGTCTTCACGGGCTCACTCTGACCCTCCTCTCGCACGCAGATGACCGGACCTACCACTTCCAGGCGGAGGACGAGCAGGAGTGTCAGATGTAAGTGCTGTGGAGGTGGCCTCGGCTGGGACTCGGCGGCCCCTGGGAGCTGTCATAGCCTCTCTGCTACTTTTCCAGATGGGTGTCCGTGTTGCAAAACAGCAAAGAAGAAGCTCTGAACAACGCGTTTAAGGGAGACGACAATACCGGAGAAAACAACATAGTGCAGGAACTGACGAAGGAGATCATCTCCGAAGTCCAGAGGATGACGGGCAATGACGTGTGCTGTGACTGCGGGGCGCCAGGTGACCCAGCCATTGACGTCCCATCCACTCCGCACAGATGCTTCCTGCGCTGTGTGTCGACCGTGTGGGGAGAGGGAAAAGGGGAGCCCGAGAGAGCTAAAAGGGTTTCAGTGCCTTTGGAGGAAACTGCAGCACAGAGGGAGGGTGAGACCAAGGTCATCCGGCCCTTGTATGAGCTCAGAGGCTTCTCCGGGGATTTACCTCCATCCGCCTCCGCATTGACTGTGAGCGCTGTCTAGTCGGGGACCCTGCACGAGCCGCTCACCCTGTCAGGTGCCTGGAAAACGAAGGAACCTTCGTCTGGGTTGTTTGCGAGTTCCTCCCAGCTGTCCACAGTCCACATAATGAAATGTTTATTTCTGCATTTTGGCAAAACCTGTTAGATGCTTCATTTCTGTTTGTTTGTTGTTTTTTTATCCTCACCCGAGGACATTTTTCCATTTTTTGTTCAGATAGAGTGGGAGGGAGAGAGAGAAACATCAATGTGAAAGGGACACATCAAGTGGTTGTCACCCACACGACCCAACCAGGGCCGGGGACAAACTGCAACCAAGGTACCTGCCCTTAGCGGGAACTGAACCCGGGGCTCTCTGGACTGCGGGCCGACGCTCTAACCGCTGAGCCAAACCGGCCAGGGCAGATGCTTCATTTCTAATGGACGTAGCCCATCATGTAGACTTTAGCCACTAGTATTTTTAAAGTTTGTGGAGTTGACTTATTCTAATTAAGACGGAACATGGGGACTTGAGGGAATATGGAACCACCTTTTCTGAGCATGTATAAAATGAGAAAGATGGGCGTGGCTAGAATAGTCAGTTACCCTTTTACTTCTAATTCTGTGCCAATTTTTATAAACAACCAAAAACAGAAGTAAAAGGGAGAGTTGAGAAATGCCGGAAGGATCCTATTATCCTGAGGCTATATTTGGGGATAATTTGAGTAATGACCTCATGGGGTCTTGGGCCCATTTAAAAATATCTCCTTGCCCTGGCCGGTTTGGCTCAGCAGTTAGAGAGAGCGTCGGCCTGCGGTCCAGAGAGACCCAGGTTCGGTTCCCGCTAAGGGCACGTACCTCGGTTGCAGTTTGTCCCCAGCCCTGGTTGGGTCGTGCGGGTGGCAACCACTCGATGTGTCCCTTTCACATCGATGTTGCATTTTCTCTCTCTCTCTCTTCCTCTTTCTTCCTCCCACTCTATCTGAACAAAAAATGGAAAAAGTGTCCTTGGATGAGGATAAAAAATAAATAAATAAAATAAAAATATCTCCTTGCCCTGGCCGGTTTGGCTCAGTGGTTAGAGCATCAGCCCACAGACCAGAGAGTCCCAGGGTTGGTTCCCACTAAGGGCGCGTACCTTGGTTGCAGTTTGTCCCCGGCCCCAGTTGGGGTCGTATGGGTGGCAACCAATCGATGTGTCTCTCTCACATCGATGCCCCCCCCCCCCCCCCCCCGCTCTATCTGAAGATGGATGCAAAAATGTCCTCGGGTGAGGATTAAAAAAGCCTTGTCAGGGTCTTGTGAGATCTCTTGCATCTTATCTTTAAGGGAGTGGTAAGTAGTGAAAAGGTAAGGATAGTGTTTGGCCTGCAAACCATGTTCACAAAGAAGTCTCTGTGCATTTTTGTTCTAAAATGCTAAGACAATATGGGTGATGTAAAAACCTGAAATAAAGTAGTCTAAGCGTACACCCGTATCTACCAAAAGCACAGTGTAGTCGATACAATAGATAGAATCAGCCTCATGAGTGACAGATGCCCAGATGTAGTTCCTAACATGAAAGATATTTTTTATAATTTGAACATTTAAAAAATGACAAAGGTTGTGCTGTTTACTTGCTGTGTGTTTCTAAGGGCAAGAAGCAGTCCTAAAGAGACTTGTACTCGGCTGTGACAGTATACTCCAGTTTTATCTTGAATTCCCCATTTTCAGTAAAGTCAGCATCTGTTGCCAGGCATTTCTTTAGTACCCACTGTGTGCCACACACACAGTAGAATGCTTCGGTGAGGAGGGCACACTGAGGAGAAACATGGCTGTGCATCAGGTCAAGGCAGGGCTGCAGTTTGGTCATGTCCACGTCCAGCCCCAGCAAGACCCTTCTGAGCAGTGTGAAGGCCCGTCCTGGTCACGTCCTGGGGCCCTGCATGTGTTCAAACAGTGAGGTTGTACATGAGAGGAACTGTCATTTCCAAAGCGCTCAGAATGAGAGCTATTACTGGCACCGAAGTGCTGACCACAGAGCACGGCATCAGCGCGCAGTCGGTGTTCTCTGTCGTTCTCGTTAGCATCTTAGTGTGTTCAGAAGACTTGGGTGGCCTCCTTTTCTCTCCCCACTTTGCTGGCGTGATCAGATTGGTGATGGGCGTGGCCACTAGAGGGCACCGTGTGCTCTTGTTCTCCTAGCACCTGTCACCTAATGAATGAAAGGGTGGGGAGGTGGAAGGTTAGGAAGAAGGAGAGAACAGACAATGGTCAACGTGTGCGTTGAGTGTAAATTGGCGGCGATGCTGGTGGAATGTAGGTTCTGGCTGCATCAAGAATCCAAAACATGCTCGTGCTCAAAACTCCACGTTCAGTGACTGTGCCAGGACGGTGGTCTGACCCCTGGCCCTCTACTTATCTCAAGCTCCAAGTTCTCTGTTCTCTCCGGCAGATCCCACGTGGCTGTCCACCAACCTGGGCATTCTGACCTGCATCGAGTGTTCTGGAATCCACCGGGAGCTGGGGGTTCATTACTCCAGGATGCAGTCCCTCACGTTAGACGTCCTAGGAACGTCTGAGCTGCTGGTAATGTTCAAATCCTTGGTTTCGTAATGGACATAAATGGAGCTACAAGCTAACCTGTTATTTTGCCTTTCGAATCCATTTTGGCTTCTTGATTTTTCCCTGAGCTGGTGGCTGTTGATGTTTGCCAGATGGATTTGGGCAATCACAGACTCATTGGTAATTCCTCCTTCCTAGCTACTAGGTACTGAGGTCACGTCTTGCTGCAGAACTTTATTCTGAAATGAGTAAAATGAAGTGGCACCCAACAAGAAGCGTTGAGACTGGTGTGTGTCGGGTATGGGATGGTAGTTTCGTCTAGCTCACCCCATTCATTAAACGGACAGAACCCAAGGCCTGGGGCAGCCAAGGGCTCATTCCCCTGAGTCACCAGCCAGTTCCTGCCAAGTCTGTGGTCACCACTTGGCTCGGTCTCTGGTGGACGTTTCCTCTTCCCTTTACTGTTGACCTTTGGGAGAGATATTGGTCTTTGCTTTTATTGCCTTTTTTTTTTTCCCTAAAAAAGTCTTTCGTTCTCGGTGCAGTGATCACACACAAACCCTTGCGGCAGAGATCGATGTCAGGAGGCGGGGTCCTTTCTGTGGAGTGACTTTCAGAATAGCCAGGAGCAGGGCACAGCACGCCATCCAGAGTCCGCAACTGCTGGTTAAAAACCAGTGCTTGGATTTTTTTCTTGGGGTGGCTGGGCGTCAGCGCATTGTAAGTGGATATTGATTGCCATTGACTTTAATGTCAAGAACAATAGTCTTGACAGAAAATCAATGACTGCGGTCAGTAGACCTCTCACGGGGCCATCAATCTTATTGATGAGCCCCCTGGATCCGGCATGTCTGAGCTTGTAATGCATCTGCACTGCTTGGTGAAACCCTTGTAGTCTTCCCAAGGAATTCCTTCGTGGTGTTGAGAGACCAAGTGGTGAGAAACCAGAGTGGACTCTGGGAGCCCAGTTAGTAACACCCCTGATCAGTTCAAGTTTAAAACGAAGCTCCATGACCCGAGCCATGTGTTATCCGTCTCACACTGGTTACTGTGAGTGTAACCACGTGTGCCACACGTCGTGGGACTGGGGTGTGCAGTGGTACCGTGGGTAATGGGCCAGGGCACAGATTTGAGACTAGCACAGTATAGTTTCAGAGACACACACTCCTCAGTCAGCTGGTAAACTCCTCACTGGCCCTGGTAAACTCTGCAGTCAGGTGGTAACCTCCTCATCAGCCCTGGTGAACTATGGCAGCTGCTGGACTCATTTTCTCAAAACAATGGGAAGGTTAGGTGATTGATGGAGAAGTAATACTTGCTTCCTCTGTACTGGGCACTTTGTGGAGCACCTCAGTGTGTTCACTGATTTACCCTTTACAGCAGCCCTAGAACCTTGGTAGAGACCCCCACTCTACAGAGGAGGAACTGAGCCTTAGAATGTTGATATGCCCCTGGTTCTGTGGTTATCAGAGAGCCAGATCTGGGGCGGGGGGCCCCTTGAACCTCGCGCAAGAGCTCACACTGGTCACGTGTGAGGCACCTGGGACACGGGCCTCTGCGGTGGGTCGTGTTGCCCTGTGTCACTGCTGCCCCCCACCCCCCATCTCCATCCTCAGCACATGTTCAGCAGCCAGCTCCCTGGGCGGAGGAAGCCCTGCCTAGTCCTTTGAGGTTCACCCCCCACCCCGGCCATACCAGGCTGCCAGCGTGAATCACTGGGCAGGGCACCGCGGTGCAGTGAGTTCGCCCTCGGATACAGTGGTTGTAAGGAATGTCCGAAACGTAGATAGCATGACCCGTAGTAAAGTAACTAGGAAGTGGTGAATTTTGAGTATTTATTCCTTTTTAACATATAGTTTTTTAAATTGTGGGTTTCTATAATGTAATTTTAATCATGGCTTTCACAAGCTGGTAGGAGCCTGACCCTGCCACGTCTGTGACCCCTGCTTAAACAGGTCTCAGAAATTTAACTCTGACCCTCATGACCTTCAGCTGTTGCCTCCTGAAGAGGAAACAAAAGGTTGAAAGAAAGTCATGCTGAGAAGATGACACGACTTCTGAGCCCTGGTCCGGGTCTTAGTTCCTGTCTCCAGAGCCTCTGTATTTTCAGAGGAGTTTCCAGTTTGACCGACTCTCGGCCATTGTGGAGACGTCGGGCAGAGCCTGCTGAGTAATGTCTGAAGATATTTTCAGTCTAGTCTCTGGCGTAGTTTTACACTCTGCCTTCTCGAACTCTCCCTTTGCTTCAGGGTTATCGGAAAGCCAAAGGGAGAGGCCCTGACTCCGGGTGTGAGTACACATTTGTAGGGCACGAGAGTGCGAGCCTGTTTAAAGTACTTGGTTATTTTATTTTGCTCAGACAGATGCCTGAACAAAGGATTTTCTCAAGCCCTCGTGTGTGTGCGACACGTGCTAAACACTAGACAATATTAGCTATCATTAATTCCCCCTCCATGATGATTTTAGTGTATTTATTTATTTTTCTAGTTTTGTTCATCCTCCCCCGAGGATATTATTCCATGGATTTTCTAGATAGAGTAGAAGGGAGGGAGGGGGAGAGAAAGACATCAACGTGAGAGAGATACATTGGGTGGTTGTCTCCCGCACGACCCCGCCCAGGGCTGGGGATTGAACCTGCAACCCAGGTACATGCCCTCGACTAGCAATCGAACCTGTGACCCTGCAGTCCGTGGGCTGACGCTCTGACCGCTGTGCCAACCCGGCCAGGACCTCCGTGGTGATTTTCGCAGAATCCTTTCAGAAGAGCGACCCCTGTGCCCTAACGTGTAAATCTGCAGCGTGTCCCCCCTGGTCGTCTGCTCCCTTCATGGGCTGTCAGATTCACAGAGCAGTGGTGTCAGCGTCTTCAGTGTTTCCTTGTGCCTCGGACCCCTCGGTGCCTTGTTGCAGGAGGGGACGGAGTGTCCGCGAGGATGCAGCCCGAACCGAGGCTCTTTACGGCGGGTGCCCCTCTGCCCCTCGGGCAGGTCAGGATGGGGGCCCTCACTCAGCAGCAGCAGGCGCCTGGCCAGGAACTTCATTTTCTGGCTGGCCTTGCGTTCCTGAGAAAAGAGGTACCCCTAAAACCCTTCGGTCCTCCCAGGTGGCCGCAGCCTACTCCTCACGATAAAATTCCCTGAATTCTTTCCTGGTCTTGGGTTTGCCAAGAGTTTCCCCGGACGGTCACCATTTTTCATTTGTTTGTGTCTCCAAGCTTGGTCGGCATGTTACCGGAACGGACTTCTGCAGCAGCCCACGGTGGCTGGTGAGCAGTGAGCCTGCCTCCCTCCACCTGCTTCTAGACCCACTTCCCCTTGAGTGGGGAGAGACCGCGGGTGGGACCGTCAGGGAAATCCTGCCCTGTCCCCGCGATACCGCACACCGCCTCTGGTCCTTGGGTTTCCGGCCAACCTGCTTCGGAAGACCTCACGGGCAGTGTCGATTTTAGAAAGACCAGGTTCCTCCTCAACACAGAAGATCCCCTTCAGCGTTGGTTTTCAGGCCACCGTCAGGCAGCAGTAGTGATACAGGATTCTAGTATCGTGTAGTCAATTTCACATCACAAATGAAGTTGGTAAAGGAAACTTAGATATGATGAAATTGAATTTGAGTCAGTGATTTAAAAAGCATCTTCCATCAAATTGAAGAGCGGGGTCACGACCCTCAGGGGCACGTGTTCCCAACTCTGGCCTCTGTGGTGAGGGACTTCACGCAGGGCCGGGAGAACGGTCGTCGTGGCCCTGTGACCGCCCTGCTGACAGGCATGTGCTGCCCCGTCCTCCTGTGCCGTGTCCCCGTGTCAGTACAGACACCTTCTCCAGCTCCTCACAGGCTCGTGATGGCCGTGCACAGTGCCCAGCACGCTGGATGGCTCTGCTCTGCACTGACCCGTGGCCGGGTTGCTTCTCCGAGTGACATACCACTTACACCCCAGCCCCCTGGGTCTCACCTGGCGCCCTGCCTGCCCCGAGCGCTCAGAGTCCCGGGGATGGTACCAGGGAGGGGGAGACATGGGTGTAGGGCCTGCTTGACACCACCTTCCCGTTTCCATGGCTCCCAGCCGCTTGGCCTGCTGGGCCTGCTGCTTGCTGTGACCCTGCAGCCTCCACTCGCAAATGCCTTGCTTTGTGGCTGGCCCCAGAGGTGTTCTCCAGCCGAGATAGTCGCCGGGACTTGGCTGGACTGTGAGGCAGCTCATTTCCCCGCGTGGGCCGCGTGGGAGGCACGGATGTGGAGGCTCCCTGGGCCAGCTGTCCCCGCTGAGCCAGCCAAATCCAAGCAGAAGGGAAGCGCTATCTGAGTCCCGGGGGATTCTCGCACCCCTCTCCCATCTGCTGTCACAGACGAGGAGGCGTGGGGGACCCTCGTCACCGGGTTCTGTGACTAGTTCTGTCACTCACCTGAAAACGTCCTGTGCTTGGCTCGCGGATGGTGTCCAAATCCTACTGCAAGATGAGGCATCAAATCAAACCTACTCTCACCAGGGCTGCGACACAAGGTGCCGTCCTGGGTCTGCCACTGAAGGCCCGAGAAATCCTTCATGGCGTCCGTGCCGTGGCCCGTGGGCCCTGTTGCCTGGCGTGGCGTGTCACCCCGACCACCAGTCCGGCTGGGGAAACTGCAGTGAGGAGCCTGGGGGCTTGCCACCTGACGCTGGCGTGAGGATGGAGGCAGGGTGGCCAGTGCCCATGCTTCGGGCCAGGAAGCCTTGTCCGCGTACCAAGGGCAATGTCCCATTAGGAATGCCCCTCCCTGTTAGTAAGCTGTCCACGCGTGGGTCCTGGGGTCCTTCGGCATCCCTCCCACCACCCCCTTCGCTGTTCACATTACGGGAAGTTCGAGCGTGTCCCTTCAGCCAGCGCCCCGGGAGGGAGAAGATGCTGGGAGACAGCAGCCCTTCCTCCAGGCCGGCCCCAAGACCCCTCTCTTCACACCCCTTGTTGGCAGTAGAAAGGTCCGAGTATCACGCCCCAGAAAGGTCAGAGTGTCGTGCCCCAGAAAGGTCCGAGTGTCACGCCCCAGAAAGGTCCGAGTGTCGCGCCCCAGTGCGTTGTTTTCAGCTGGCGATGAAACGGCTTCTCCCCACAGCCCTGGCCCGGGGCTCCCTTCGGGTTTCTTTGTGTCGTGAAGCAGGGAAGCAGCCGACAGGGTGCTGGGCTGGGTGCCGGGGTCGATGAGAACCACTCGGTATTTGGGGGCCCGCTCACCGCAGTGCTGGCTGCTGCACCGTCGGGGAGGCCCCACTGACAGACCGTGTCTGCTGCACCCCACACGGTGCCAGGTGCTCAGCATGAATTAAAACGTGTCCACTCGAGTCTGAACAGGTCAGAAGGTTGATTGGCAAGTCAGGGCCTTCCATTTGGAGCAAGCATGTTACATTTTTAGCACTTCCGTCTCCTGAGTGCTGTCACCTAAATTGTCCCATTTTATCATGATTACAGCCCGACGAGGTAGGTATCATCCCATCTTACTGATGAAAAAATCAAAGCCCGGGCCAACGGACATGCCAGCTGCCCCAAAGCCAGGCAGTAGAGCCGGAATAGGGACCCAAATCTGGGCTCCCTGGCCTAAATGAAGGTGGTTGGGCAGTTTCACTGAAAGTGTGGGTTTTGGGGGCCTGGGTGAGGGTGGCATCCTGCCTTGGGCCCGCCCAGTTCCAGGGCGTTGTAGGAGAACACTCCTCCGGAACAGGCATGCTGTGTCTTACGTGGAGTTTTATGGGTACCTCTGGGGTTTGGGTTTTGTCCATCTTTATTAAAGGCAAACCACTTTATTGCTCTATTTCTTAGTGGCCAGTAAGTAAGTCATCCAGTGGACGAGCAGTGTGTAGCAGTGGGGGGCATTAATAATTGAGCGCCCTGAAACGGATGTTTGTCGTTGCAGCTTGCCAAGAATATTGGGAACGCAGGTTTTAATGAGATCATGGAGTGCTGTCTCCCCGCCGAGGATTCGGTCAAACCCAGCCCCGGCAGCGACATGTGAGTATGGGGCCGGCTGTTCTCGTCTGAACCCAGGCTGGCCTTGGACCCGGGTCCTGAGGGGCAGGAGAGTAACAGGTGTGGGTGCAGCGATTGTTCCTTTAGGGACTAAATCAGCCTTTGTTGGGGTTTTTTGTCGTTGTTTTTTTCTCCTAAACCTTTTGGGGTGTCCCGGTATAAATTGGGGGTGGCTGTTTTTCACAGGAAGAGGCCACAGGACAGCCGACGTGGCTGAGACTCTGGGTCTGTGAAGGAGGGGTGGTGAGTGTCGCCCTCTGCTGGTGGCCTTTCAGCCCGGGGCGTGGAGTCACTCGGGTCTCTCCGCATATGTTCTGAGCCGCTGGGAGGGCTGGTTGTCCCAGAAACGTGATCATGTATCGCTCTCTTTCCCCTGTCCTTGCAAATGTGGAGTGTGTTTCCTTCCAAGAAAAAAAAAAAAATGTTTTTGTTGTTTTTGTTTTACTGTTGATACAAAACTTGATTGAGAAGCTTTTGTGCTCCTCGGACATCCAGCTGGCCCATTGAGACAGAGCTCACAACACGAGACTTTGCTGCCGTCTTATCACGCACAGTGTGAATCCCCCAGATCACACTGGTCTTTGAGAAGGGGGTGGGGGTGGTTCACGCGGTGCCTGCCGGCCCCTGTTAGACTTCAGCCCTGGTTGGTATAGGTTGCCCATCTGCCCGCAAGAGGTCTGGGGTGGTCTCCCTGCTTGAGTATGATGCACAGTGTGGCAGAGGAAGGGGAGAGGGGGAGAGAGGTCCCCGGGCCATAGAGACGGCGCCTGCGTTTAAGCGGTGAGCGCAGGGTTGGGGCAGGAAGGGGAAAGGAGAACGGTGTGATGAGAGAAAGTAGAAAAATCCGTCTGCCGAGGCAGCATTTCTCTTGGAATAGCCTGAGGTAGATTTGATAGCAAGGGTCCTCCTAAGGGTCACTGGGCAGTGAACAGGGAACAGTGGATTTAAGAGTGACTTACAAACAGGTGTAGTGTACGGGCCCTTGGCAAAAGCCGGGAATTTAGATTTTTGCAACCGTTTTGTGGGAGCGTGTCTTTGGGAAGCGGAAGTGCAGGGTCTCTGTTCTTTTGTGTTCGGGCGCAATGACTTAATACAGTGGGGGAGCTTAGACAGTGGCAAGCATGAACAGGCACCCTGTCCCGGACCACCCACCCTCTCGGGTGTCAGGTGTCAGGTGTCAGGTGAACGCTTTGGAGTCGGTTCCTGCTGAAGTCCTGTAGCAAATATTTCTGTGGTAGCATTTCCTTGAGACAGTCCTGTGTGGGTTTAGATACTAGGTTACAAAGTTGCTATCCTCTCTGTAAAGGTCTGCTTGTCAAATCTGTGTTCTTACCTGATCTGGAGAAAGGCAGCACGGGACATAGAAATGCCACCTCTGTGCCCTGGCCAGTTGGCTCAGCGGTTAGAGCATTGGCTCAGCAGTTAGAGCATTGGCCCGCGGACCAGAGTGTCTCGGGTTCAGTTCCTGCTAAGGGCATGTGCCTCGGTTGCAGTCTGTCCCCGGCCCCAGTTGGGGTTGTGTGGGTGGCAACCAGTGTATGTGTCTCTCTCACATCGATGTTTCTCTCTCTCTCTTCCTCCTTCTCTCCCTCCCGCTCTATCTAGGAAAAAAAAAAAAAAGCCAGCTCTGACCTGGTCATGGGTCCCAGGCAGGTGTGTTAACTTCCTGGAGCCCTGTCCTCTCATGGAAGCAGGAGGCAACGCTGCCCCTCACAGCCACGGGGCATCAGCCACAGGGCATCCGCCACGGGGCATCCGCCACGTCTCACTTGGTTGGGGTTGGGCCACAGCAGGCCGATTCCACACTCCCCGAAACATTCGGCTCCTCTGAGGTCAGGTTTCAATTGGAGTGACCCCAAGGATCGCTAGAAGATCCTGTTCGGTAGAGGAAATGTCACCACCTGGTGTGACGTGTTTATGTACTGTCGATTGACACCCGCTCTCACAGTGTCCCAAAATACTATACTGTTGGTCAAAAGTATATAATAACTGAGCCCTGGCCGGTTTGGCTCAGTGGTTAGAGCGTCGGCCTGCGGACCAGAGCGTCCCGGGTTCGGTTCCTACTAAGGGCACGTACCAAAAAATTAAAAAAGAAAAAAAAAAAGTATATGATAACTGATTTCTTCCAAGTACTCAGGGCACCTTGTAAAGGCAGAGATCTTGTTTATTCTAAAATGAAGACCGGCTGCTGGGAACTCAACGATATAAATGTTGTATCCGCATTGAGGTCCCACCCCGCAACTTTAGCACAAATAAAAAAGGAAATTTGTGCCCTGGCTGGTTTGGCTCAGCGGTTAGAGCATCAGTGTGTGGACCAAAGAGTCGCAGGTTCCATTCTAGCCAAGGGCATGTGCCTCCATTACGGTCCGTGCCTGGCCCTGGTTGGGGTTGTGTGGGTGGCAACCAGTCTATGTGTCTCTCGCTCATCGATGTTTCTCTCTCTCTCTTCCTCCCTCCCTCCCTTCCACTCTGAGATAAATGAAAAATATATCCTCAGGGGAGGAATTTTTAAAGAAAGGAGTCCTGGCCGGTTTGGCTCAGAGGTTAGAGCATTGGCCCAAGTACCAAAGAGTCGCAGGTTTGATTCCGGTCAAGGACACATACCTTGGTTGCAGTTCAGTCCCCAGCCCTGTTTGGGGTCACGCGGCAGGCAACTAATCAACGTGTCTCTCTCACACGGATGTTTTTCTCTCTCTCTCTCCCCCTCCCACTCTATCTGAAGATGGGCAGGCTGGTGAGGATTTTTTTTAAAAAAAAAGGAAATTTGCTCCTTCCCCTCTTCTATCTTCTAAAGGAGGATGGCTGACCTAGGTAACGGCAGAATGCCGCCTGCTTGCATTCCTCCTCTGCTGACCTCATCGCTGGCCTCCGTCTGCTCGGAAGCATCCTCTCCCTAACGCGCTTCATCCCACTTTATAGTATCCCTGGGTATCTCCATATATTTTTCCGATAAACGGCATCTTACTGGGTTTGTATTTCCCACCCCAATATGTTGCTCGTGGTGGGAAGTACATGTTTAATGAATCAACAAGTCAAAGGCGAAGGCCCAGCTCCGGCTGCTGGCTTCTTAGGCGAGCTGGAGCTCTGGGCCGGGTGGAAAGGAATGTGTGCTGCTCACTCCATCAGGCGACACACCATCTGGCGACGGCTCTGGCGAAGGGGAAGCCACAGACGGTCTCGCGGCCTGTGCGAGCCGAGAGGGATGTGGGGGGCTGAGAGAGATGTAGGCAGGGGAGGGAAGCGTGGTCTGAGTCCGCTCAGAGGCCAGACCTGGTCCTCTCCCGGGCCGCGGGACCTCACACCGCTCTGCCCTCCGGACGTAGAAGCCCTGCTTCTGCACAACATGCAGATTGTGTTGTTGTGTCACCGTCACTGCTTTTCTCCAAAAGCCTAAGCCTTTCAGAAAAACGTGAAGGGGGGGGGATCACACAGCAGCAGGTGGGCAGGCAGACCACCCTGGGGAACACCTCTGACAGAGGCCAGGCGGTGACCCGTGAACAGCTGTTGCAGGAATGTGGGTTACCTAGGAGAGAAGGCACAGAAGGCATGCAGCCCTGCAGAGGGAGCTGGGTAAGCAGAGCCGGAGGCACGCAAGAGGTGGAAGGGGAAGCTGCCCGGTGGGGCTGGAGCACAGCTTCAGGGGGGCGAGCGCAGACGAGGCCGGCTCGGCAGGCAGGCTGAGGGCAGGCGGCCCCGCCCGAGTGTGGGCTGTCCACCTGCACAGCCCGCACCTGGGACTGGGACGAGGCCGCAGGACCCCTCTGTTGGAGACTAGGTTTCATTGCTTCTTTGTTTGTTTGTTTTTTCTTTATTGATTTTGGAGGGAGAGAGAGAAACATGGATGAGAGAGAACATCGACCAGCCACCTCCTGCACGCCCCGCACTGGGGATTTGGCCCACAACCTGGGCGTGTGTCCTGAGCAGGAATCAAGCGGGTGACCTCTTGGTGCAGGGTCGACGCTCAACCACTGAGCCACAGCGGCCGGGCAGTCTCATTGCTTCTAGATGCTGAAGGTGTCACCTGAACATGGGCTGCACACAGTCACATGGCAGCTGCCTACCTGACGGAGCTTTCTGTGAGGGTGGGGCCGGATTTTTTTTTTTTAAATTGTTATCTTTCACCCCATGAGGTAGCTCAGTGCATTGAGCATCATCCCAGGGACTGAGAGGTCCCAGTTTGATTCCCAGTCAGGGCACGTGCCCAGGTTGCGGGCTCGATCCCCAGTAGGGAGCGTGCAGGAGGCAGCCGATTGATGTTTCTCATATCGATGCTTCTGTATCTCTTTCCCTTCCTCTCTCTCTAAGAAAACCAATAAAAACATTTTTTTTTTAAATTATTATCTCCCTGGCTGGTTTGACTCAGCAGTTAGAGTGGCGGGCTGTGAACTGAAGAGTTGCAGGTTCAAGTCCCAATCAAGGGGCACGTACCTCAGTTGCAAGTTCGACCCCCAGCCCCAGTCAGGGTCATGCAGGAGGCAACCAGTCGATGTGTCTCTCTGACACTGATGTTTTTCTCTGTGTCTCCCTCCCTCCCACTCTATTTAAAAATCAGTGGAAAAATATCCTCGAGTATTAAAATAAAAATGTTATCGATGGGTGTTGGGTGTTTGAATCGAGGCCCTGCATCGCTTACACGGCCGCTGTGTGTGCCCTCAGGAATGCCAGGAAGGACTACATCACCGCCAAGTACATCGAGCGGAAATACGCGAGGAAGAGACACGCGGACAGTGCGGCCAAGCTCCACAGCCTGTGCGAGGCCGTCAAAACCAGGGATATTTTTGGGTTACTCCAAGCGTACGCAGATGGCGTGGATCTTACGGAAAAAATCCCACTGGCCAATGGACATGTAAGAGCGTGGCAAGGCGTGACCTAGAAATGCCAACCGAACGGTGGAATTCTCTGCGGGAGGTCGGCATTGAGTTCTAGGGGAGCATTAGCACCTCCTGGGCACTCGGGGCGCCTGGTGGCCGGGCCTCAGCTGCAGCTCCAGGGCCCACGTGGCGGAGGAGAGCTGATGGCCTGGTGTACCCCTGCCCCCTGCTCCTTGTCCTCCCCCCGAGGGAACCCAAGCGGGAGAGACAGCTGTTTCCTGAGGAACTTTCCTGAGAGAGAGTGGTCTCACTGTCAGGGTCCACCACGCCACAGGTCATCGTGTCCTGTCTCCCTCCACGGGTAGCCTGGGGCACGCAGGGGCTGGGGATCACCTCTTAGCAGCTGAGAACGGAGCCCACGTGTACAGCATTCCAGCCTAGAGAGAAATGAGGCCACACGGGCCAGGCAGGGCGTGCTCAGCTCTGCGCTGCACCTCGGCCAGAGCAGGCTGTGGATGTTACCTCCCCCTGCCCCCCGAAACAACCCTCCTGTGGTCTCTTCCCCGCTCGCCAGAACTTCCTTTCAGAAAGGGCATTGGTGGCCATGTGCCCTAGTGTGAACTGCACACAGTCCAGGTGGCAGTAGCCTCGATGGCCTTAGCTGTGAGCAGGGAATGAAAACCGCGTCCCTGTTTTTGAAATACACGTTTCTACGTATCCAGGGAGCGGGTGTGAGAAGCTGGCAGACGGGAGGCCTGGCAACATCCCTGGAGTCTGCCCCAGACCCCTGCCTACAGGCAGTGGTGTGATACAGGGGCGGGGACGGGGCGGGGGAGGACTTGGAAGTGAAACCTCTGAACCACCGTCATATCCTGTGGAGTAAGGACCCGGGGGACCCGTCTCTCAGCTGCAGGTTCCCACGGGCAAGGGGCTGCCAGGAGGTCGCGGCCCCGTGCTGCTCAGGGGTGAATGTTTGGAGGAAAGAATGAAAGGCTGCGGGAGAGGGTCGGAGGGAAGTGGGAGGTCCCCTCGGGTCCTGGATAGCTGCCGCTTGCTCTGCAGGAGCCGGACGAAACCGCCCTGCACCTCGCCGTCAGGTCTGTGGACCGGACTTCTCTGCACGTGGTCGACTTCTTGGTTCAGAACAGGTGGGTGTTCTAGACTCGGGGAGGTGCTTGGTTTGGTTCCTTGGGGTTTCTGGGGGGGGGGGGTCAGGGGCTGTGGGGCCGAGATGCTGGGATTTTCCCAGGGCTGAGCATGGGCTGTGGGGCAGGAAAGTGCAGTCCTGCAGAAGCCTGGAGAGGGAGGAGGACACCCTTCAGGGTCCGCAGGCTGCAGCTTCTGGTCTCTGGGACCGGGGAAGCAGTCTGCTGCCCCCCAGTGGTCGAGTGGCTTGTCGCTCAACCAGGACACATGAGTGCCTGTCTGGGGTGACCTGGTCTTGCTTGGCGTTGGGAGATCTTTGGAAATCTCACAGTTCCCTCTGAGCCTGTCTTAAGGGCCAGACTGGGCCAAGGAGGCTCAGTCGGAGGAAAAGTGACTTTCAGCTTTACTGCTGCAAGTGTCCATAATAAGATGGAAAAGCTCCTGTGTCCATCTGTGGGACAGATTGGGCGAGTCACGCGGGCTTCCTGTGGCCTCTGGGCCCTGGTGGGGACGCTGGAGAGCCAGGCGGCAGGCACGTGGTGGTCCGGGGCCCCTGCCTGGGTGCAGCACGCGTGCCTCTCGGCCATCGCTGTTCCCCAGTGGCCTAAGTCAAGGGCACCCTGTCCACACGAGCAGGGCTGGTCTGGCCCACCCACCTTGCAGGAGGGTTGACCGTAGTCCTCCCAGTGGTCCTGATGGCTCGCTGCTCTCCTGCTCATGCCTCAGTCCCCTACCCGGGCAGCCTGGTCCTCTGGCCCGTGTCTCACTGTTCTCTCTCTCTCCCTCTCTCCCTCCCTCTCTCCCTCCCTCCTGGTGCCGGCCAGTGGGAACCTGGACAAACAGACCGGGAAGGGCAGCACGGCCCTGCATTACTGCTGCCTGACCGACAACGCTGAGTGCCTCAAGCTCCTTCTGCGGGGCAAGGCCTCCATCGAGATCGGTGAGTCCGCCTGCACCACCTCCTGTCCGCGCTCCCGTCAGGCCTGAGGACACGTGAACTGTGCCCTCTGAGGGAAGGGGCCTCCCTCACCTGTCCTTGGTGCTGCTCAGCAGCCTTCCCCCATCCTGGGCCTTCCATCATCAGCAGTGGGGTGTGGGTGATAAGGCAGAGGAGAGGGCCTGGGCACCTCCCCCTGCTGCTCGGAGCCCACGCCTTGGGTCTGACCAGCGCCCGCTGCTGTGGGGTGGCAGGTGCACCCAGTCTCCTCCAGGAGGGACCCCAGCCCTGCTGGGCCTGCCCCCCTCCCTCCACCGTGGGACCCAGCCTGGCACAGCCGAGCCCACCAGCACACAGCTGGGATGGGGCGCTAGGAAACGCCTCTGAGGACCCCTGCAACAGCGCCGGGAGTCTAGGGGGAGGCACCCCCTGCTTCACAGCCAGGTTCCTTTTTTAAAAATTAATGATGCAGCCTCGTTGGCTGAGGCGTGTCTAGAAGGACGTGCACACTTTCAGATTGGTGGCGAGCGTAGGGAGGTGTGAGGTGGTCGCCGAGGGTGCTGCAGCTCGCTCAGCGGCGCTGTTGTTAGAGCGACCCCTTCATTCGACACTAAGAGTCTGCATGTCGATTTCCGTTCGCGGGCTACCTCAGTGGTTCCGGGTTCGTGGTTGGTGTAAACCTGTTCTTGTCAGTCTCCCCAGCGACACGGCGGCAGTTCTGTACAGTTACAGGACTGGTGCAGCCCCTACTGGAGCCCCTACACTCGCTGGGGATCCCATCTGTCTGGTCGGTTTCATTTAGTGTCGCTGCTCAGTGTCTTCTGTCGTCTCGACATGAAACCTTCCCTCGTCTTTGTCGCCCTGCCCCTTAGCCAACGAGTCGGGGGAGACGCCGCTGGACATTGCCAAGCGCCTCAGGCACGAGCACTGTGAGGAGCTGGTGAGTCTGCCCGGCGTGGTCAGGGCGAGGGCACCCTTCCTGGGACAGGTTCTCTCTGGGCCCCGAGGTGTGGGTCCTGAGCAGGTCCCAGTGGCCTGCATGGGACGACTTAGAAAAGGCATTTGGGGAGCCTTAGGAGATGTGACACCCCCTTCCTAGTGATGCTTGGAACAAGAGTTTGTATTTGCTGGTTGGACACATTGTTAGTGGCTCTGGCCTTTTCTGGGGCACATGGAGCAGAGGCCCGGAGGCCACCCCAGCTTTGCCTGTCCTCTGTCCTCTGAGCTGTTCGCTGGTCCCTTGGCAGCTGCTCTAGAGCGGACCTTCTTGTTTCGCCCCAACCCCCAGTCACTTGAGTTGTGATGCACCATCTTTTCCTGTCCTGTTCTGGGAGAGGCAGCAGTGTGGCCCGTGGACAGGGCCCACCAGGGTCAGGCAGACCCCAGTTTGCAGCGGGGTTCCACTGCGGTGACTTGGGAAGGTCACGCCGAGCCCCCCTGCCGTGTCCTGTCGGGACAGTGGAGGCGGTTACAAAGTTTGCAGGGTTGTGACGATGATTGTTGAGCTCTGAAAAGCAAGCTCTCCGTAAACTGAACTGTTGACAGCCAATCCCATACAAGTGGGGGACAAGTGACAGGCGCTGCTCTGAGCACGCTGTGTCCATGACCTCGTCTGACCTTGACAGCTACCTGAAGGGCGGCTCTCTGCTGTTATCTCCATTTTATAGAAGAGGAACCGGCACAGAGAGGTTAGGTCACTTGCCCCAGGTCACACAGCTGCAAAGTGGCCGTGGAGAACGTTAGGCCCTGATGTCCTAAGACACCCGGTCGTATCTAATGAATTCACTCCTCTGCATCTAGAGTAGAACTAGCTGTCTACCTTCCTGGAGAGAACTGAGAACAGGTGTTGACATCATTCTCTGCAGAGCTTAATTCTCTCGTATCGCTTGAGAAAGGCTGGGGTAACCCTTGCGGACACGTTGAGTTTGCTCCTGCGCAGTGGTCAGTACGCACCGGCTGACCATCATTCTGTGTATCCTGGTATCCCCTGCCTTTGTGCAGTTTACAAAGCACTTGATGGGAGTTCCGAGGTTTGAGTTTCGTGGTTATCTGTGAACTTGGGGTGGGGCTCACCCGAGACCCAGAGAGTTCCGTACGCTGGCTGTGTGCTGAGGGCAGGGGTCTGGGCGGATGCCTCAGCCGCGTCACCACCGTCCCGTGCTCTCCCCAGCTGACCCAAGCCTTAACCGGAAGGTTCAACTCCCACGTTCACGTCGAGTACGAATGGCGGTTGCTCCATGAAGACCTGGATGAGAGCGATGACGACATGGATGAGAAATTGCAGGTCTGTCCCGGGCCCTGGGCACTGGCAGCTCCGTAATACGCTCAGTCCAGAGCAGGGCGGTCCTAGCCTGTGATCGGGGCAGGAAGCTGCCTTGTAGGGAAGAGGACAGAGTTTGCCTTTTGCCCCCATTGATCCCTGGGGGATTCGCTCGTGCCCCGCCCATCTCCCGGCTCCTGGCTCCTCCACACGTTCAGGTAAAGGAGCACTAATGGTGTTGTCACAGGCAGCTGCCTTTTGATACGGAGGAAAGATGGGGGGCTTGTGATCCCAGAGGGCTAGAGGAATTCACGCACTGTGGATAACGTGAATGAGAGCCAGGTCTCCCCCAGTCAGGGGTCCTGTTCACCTGGCTGAGCTGTAAAACCGTAGCCGAAACCATCAAAGGACCCTTAGTGCTCACAGGGTTCAGGGTTCCTTCATCAGGTGGGATCATTGACGCCTAAGAGAGAGCTTGGCTTGGCCTAAGGGAAGCAAGTATTCAGAGACCGAGGGCCCTTGACTCCTGGTCCCTTCTGATGGCACCCCTTGCCCTGCACATTTGGGGGGACCCCAGAAGGTGGCCACCTTCACACGAGTCTCTGAGTGAGAGCCAGACTCAGGTAGACTGACCGCAAAGCCCACCCCACACACCCCAGTGAGGGAGCCATGGACAGTTCTCTCGGTTTTGCTGCAGAACATTCACGTTTGTACTGAGGATGCCGGATTATCTAGAGTGTTTCCGAAACCTAGCGGGTGATCTTTGTGGATGGAGCACTTACACCCATACTTCCTGACTCCCAGGATGAGAGATTCCTTCACTGCGTTAGCTGTGAGCCTGGGTCAGTGAGAGGAGCTGACTAATGGTGTGTGTGCACTCCTACCTTAAACAAGGGGAAGGCTCAGCTCCTGCCCCAGGTGAGCGCACACATCAGCGCACACATCACATCCTCGCCCTGTGGCTCAGCAGGTGGCCTCCGTCGTCCAAGCAGAATTCCCGTAGGAAGTGCTCTGGCTTGGAGCCCGGACACACATCTACTCTTATCTCCAGCAGAGAGGGGCAGGTGTGGTTAGTTCACACTGCCGTGGGCTTTGTGGGAATTTAAAAATATGCTGAAGAGCCAGCAGCCATTGGGTTCTGCACGCCTGAGCTGGGTTTGAGCCAGGGGGTCGGCCGGAGCCTGCACTGGGCAGGTGTGCCCTGGAGGGGAGGAGCAGTACCTGCTAAGCTCCTGGCACTGTGCCCGAGAAGCTGTTCAAATTATACCCGTTTCAAAGATGAAAAACAGGGTCAACAAGGTTAAGGAACTTGCTCAGGACCATAGCTGTTACGGTGAAGCTGACCTTTGAAATACGAGTTAGATCTCATTTACCCAAATCATGAGTCCATGCACATGACCTTCCAAAAGAACAGGGGTTGGCGGATTTAAAGGGCCAGACAAGGACTAGTCTAGGCTTGTGGGGCCACCACTCAGCTCTGCCAGGGTAGCTCAAAAGCAGCCATAGACACTGTGTAAACGACCGGGCCTGGCTGTGTTCCTATAAAACTTTATTAACAAAAACAGGTCGTGGACCACAGGCCCTGGTTTGCTGAGCCCTGAGAGTCATGTCAGGAGTTCCGCTTTATACAAGAAGAGAGGGTTGCTGTGCCCTGCGTCAGTCCTGTAGCTGCCGGGTGCCCAGGGCAGCTGTGCTGTCCTGTCATCTCCGAAAGCAGGGCTACGACCAGAAACGCAGGGGCGGGTTGAGATGACTCCAGGTAGTGAAGATGAAGTGGTTCCTGTTACATCCTCCACAGAACGGAGAAGTGGACGCCGTCCACCAGGGCTTTTTGTTGTTTCCATTACGAGACGTGGTAAGAGTGAGCTTTAAGCCTCGCGGTGCTTACGTGACAGTTGAGAGCCAGGTGCTCCACGCCCAGGTGGAAGTGGTGTCCACGAGGTTGTCGCCGGTAGATGGCACGCTGTGACCGAGAGGTCAGTGTACCTGCATTTCACACCCTTCCCGCCACCCCTCTGCAGCCCAGTCCCAGTCGGCGAGAAGACCGGCCGGTCAGCTTCTACCAGCTGGGGTCCAACGCCGCCTCTTTGGCCAGAGACACCGCCGGCCTGGCCAAGGACAAGCAGAGGAGCTTTGCGCCCAGCATCTTGCAGAATGAGACGTACGGAGCTATCCTGAGTGGCAGCCCGACTCCCCCCCAGCCTGCAGCCCCCGGCACCTCCAACGCCCCCCCACTGCCCCCTCGGAACCTGGCCAAAGGTAATGAGCTCCCGGTAGCCCGACCAGTGCACGGCACACAGTGTGGTTTGGGTTTTTGTTCGGGGAAGTTTGTAGTTGCTCTGCCGCCCACTAGGTGGCATTTGGGCCAGCTCAGGATGTTCACCCAGGGCCCTTGGTTTTGTAATCCGCTGTGTGCTTCCATCGTGCGTAGGTAGGGTGCTGCATGGTGGTGGAGCATCTTGCTTGGTTCTTGTTCTGGGCAGAGGTGTGGCATCTGCCTGACGCCTCCAGGGTAGGCCTGAGTTGGTGGGCCAGCTCCTGACACTGGTCCCTGAGCTGTTTTCTGGTCCTTTTCTTTTTGATTTCACCACTCACGGTCTTTCCCTTTGCCTTCATTCTTTTCTTTTTTATTTCTCCTCTGCCTGCACTTAGCCAGCTTGTGGCACCTGTGATTATTTCTTATCTCTGTGATCCCCAGGAAATGAAGCATAAAAAGATGCTAACTTGGGGACAGTCATAAAATTGTGACAATACAGAGTAGTCGCTGTGGTCCCACCGGCACCGGAAGTGCCAGCGTAGAGACTTTGCCGCAGCAGGTGCTGTTTCTGTTTCTGTAAGCTGCAGAATGAAGCCCTCAGAGTCAAGTCATTTGCCCAGCATGAAGTCCAGCTGTGGGCCAAGGCTGTCAGCCGTGGCCAGCAGTCTCCGGGGGCTTCCCAGGGAGACACAGGGCCTCTGCCGGGCATGATGTCCAGGCTCTGCGGCTGCCGTGGGCTGCGGTGGTGACAAGATTCGTCCCAAATGGCATTTGTGTGGTAGCTGCTCCCTGGGAGGGGCACGTAGGTGAGAGGTGGTGGCTGGGCCAAGGAGGGCATTCGGCAATGTGCCATCACACTGAGTCTGTGCTCCCGTGTTATGGGCTCCACCTCCCCTGCTGCCCTGGTAACCTGAAGACCCTCCTACACGGCTCAGGGAGGCCCAGGAAAGGCTGATGAGCCTGTCGTCCGGGTCACTGAGTCACGCCCCTCAAGAGCAGACCCGCCAAGCAGAGAGGGGGCCGTAAGCCAGGCAGACCCCAGAAACCAGCCTCGCACCTCCCTGGCAGAGCCCACTGTGCCCGCATCCCAGGCAGTATGCGCACCCAGGCTTGATGGGGGTCCCTGAGCAGGAAGGAGGCTGTGAGTTAAGTCCCACAGCCTCGTCCTCCCGGTCACCCTCGCCGCTGGCCAGGTGGCCCAGGGCAGAGGAGCGCAGCAGGTGCGGTTTGGGTCCCTGGGGCCCCTCACCGGCTGCCCCGTCTTCCTCCCACAGCTGAGGACATGCACTAATTTTGTCATCTGCGCCCCGTTCCTGGCTTTTACTGATGGTGTGCGTCATGTCGGGAAAGACTGTATTTTGCCCTGTTGGGTGGTAGAAAAGGAATGAAAAGCTGTTCGTCTTTATTTCTTGTTTTCCTAATGCCTTGGATGAGGGTTCTGGTTTTTTTCTTCCCGTTTTGGGGGTGGCGATTCTGGTGGTTAGCTTCGTTTCTTCCTTTGAGGGTCACATTCACCCCTGCCAGCCCCCAGGAGGGTGTCATTCTTCATCTAGTCCACACCTGGTCCAGTGAGGGCCTCAGACCACAGCTAGACAAGGGAGTCGGCGTGGGGGTGCCTCCACCGAGCAGGCCTTGCCCACAGCCAGCGGGCGCGGGCTCCCCCTGGACTCGGGCAGGCCCCGCCCCAGGGAGCCCGCACAGCCTCCGACGTGGGTCCCCATGCCCCTGAGCAGACACCACTCAGTGAGGAAGGGCACCAAGCTTGGGGGGGCAGAGGAAGGACAGTGACCAAGGCAGCGTCATCCCGCCACTGTGCCCCCTGAGCTGCTTGGTGTCATCTCAGCCGATTTCTAACCAGAAACACGTTTGCAGGAGGTGGCCAGAGCCCTGCCTCTGGTGTGTCTGAGGTGCACCCTCTCCCCTGTGCTCCCTCTGAGGATGGGTGCCCCAGTGCAAGACTGGGACCTGACCCCGGGCCAGGGGGAGGACTTGGTGTGCGGGGAAATCCCGAGGTTCCCTCCCCTCCCGGTGCTCCGGGCGTGGCACCGAGGTCATTCAGCTACGTCTGAGAATGAATCAGTGAGGTTGTGACAACCGCCTGGGAACCTTCCCAGACAATCGTCCTTCGGGTGTGCATGGGGATCTGCCGTCCAGGCACCGGAGACGGGAATTTTTCAAAAACCAGCCTCCTGCCCGCGGTCTCCACGCTGTTCGAGAAGCGTCGTGCTCGCCGCTGTGTGAGAGGATCAATAATGCAGTGTTCTGTTTCTGTCTTTGTTGTGTGTGCTCGTGTGCGCGTGTGCGCGTGCCCGCGCGTGCAGCTCAGACAGCCTCCTCTGCTAACGCCCTGTGGAAGACAAACTCTGTCGGCGTGGACGGGGTAAGCAGGCAGCGATCTTCGTCAGATCCGCCAGCTGTCCACCCGCCGCTGCCCCCTCTCCGCGTGACATCTACCAGTACGTGTTCTCCTTTCCCCTCTGCCGGTGGGTTTCAGAGGTCAGGACGGCGGGGTGGGAGCAGGGCTGCGGAGCCCCACGCCCGTCTGCGCTGACCCTGTGGGTGCCCGGCGCTGCGTGGGGCCCTGTGGCCCTTCCATGTCCCCGGGCCCGCGGCCTCCGTCCCAGCGCTAAACTCCTGTCTGTCGGGCGCCCGCCCCAGGGGACCCGCGCCCTGGCTCCTCTGTGTCCCCAAGCATTTCAGCAGCACCTGTTTCGTCCTTTCCCACAGGAGCCCAGGGCTTCGTTTCCTTTGGCCGTTTGGTGGGTCAATATTTGGGCTCAGTCATGTGGATTATAACCTAGTGTGTTTTTCTGTCCGATGTCAACATGTGGGTGGAAGTTCCAGAACCTGGGGGAGGGGGCGGGGAGAGGTGTTTTCCCAGCCAGCAAAGTGGGCGTGTCTCCGGGCCAGTGAGGCCCTGGGAGGGGCACACCTGCCTCCCCGGGTTTGCTCTCAGAGCTTTGGCAGCGTCCCTGCCTCGCCTTCCTCAACCTCATTGAGATGCAAGGACCCAGGCCAGCTGCAGTCAGTGCCATAGGCGTGTGGCTGCCGGCAGAGCAGGGAGCTGTGTCTGGGAGGGTTGTCCAGAGCCTGGGGGTGGGACGGGGATCGTCCAGCTCAGATTCACCCAAGGCAAACAGCAAGGGGGCACCCGGAAGGTCAGGGGACCCAGCAGGCCTTATGGGGGTGCCAGTAGCTTCAAGAGGCCCACTTTCTGCCTCTCGGTAGATTTGCACGCTAGAGGCTCCCTTTTGGATGTCCTTTAAGGCAGAAAAAGTAAACAAGAATGAAAAAATATATATATATGTATATAATAAAGGCAGACCCTCAGCTGACTGCCTCCTTCATGGCTGGCCCCTCACCCCCGGCTGTCCTGGGACAGAGGAGCTGCTGCCTCCTCGGGCGTCAGTGCCCAGAGGCAGGTGTCCACCTTGAGGGCAGCGGGCTGAGGATGCTGGACACGGAGAGCGCTACCATCTGGCAGAGAGGGCAAGGCGGGGAAGGAGTCGTGGGCTCGGGGCCCAGCGCCCTGCCCTGCTCAGTGACCCTCGGTGAAAGCACGTCGGTCCCCGAGATGCAGCCTCTTCCTCTGTAAAATGTAGAGAATCGGCTCGCGTCCTGCCCAGCACCGAGGGTGGAGCCTGTACAGAGTTGGTTTCTTCACGACCTTTGTTGAGATTGACCTGGGAAATGGGTCAGGCCCCTAGGTCCGGAGGCAGAATATTGACCCAAGAAGACCCAGTGCCCCCGGGGGCAGGCCATGTGCAGAGTGCAGCCTGGGCCGCAGCCTCCGCTCCTGCTCCTACAGGCCGCGGGGCAGAGAGCAGGAGGGCAGCCGTCTCGGCTTCTCCACAGGGATTCTCTCCGAGAAAAACTCACGGGCTCGTAGGAACGTTGTAATCCTGATTCAGGGCTTGGAAGGACTCCCCACCAGTGCTGTTGACTGAAAATCCACAATGAAAGCAGGCTCTTTCCTTATGAAATAGGGAGAGAAAAGGGGTTCCCCACGTGACACCCGAACCTGACCCTCTGCCGTCTCCTCTCTGCTCTCTCCACAGACCCCCTGGCTCCCACGCCGCCTGCTCCGGCCGCCAAAGCGCCCATTGCGATGGAGAGCCTGAGCAAGCTGACCCCGCCCGGGGGCCCGCTGGGCAAAGCCACACCGCCGCCCCTGCCGCCCCAGCCGCCCAGCCGCCTCCCCCAGAAGAGGCCTGCTCCCGGGTAATGACCTCCTTCCATGTGTCCCCAGTACCTTACCTGCTGAGATTTCTGTGCAGACGTGTAAAATTGCCCATGTTTCTGCCACTTCTGAGGTTAGATGACCCATCACTTGGTTTCATCAGGTTTCGAGGGCCTCAGGCACAATTTATCAAGAATTTTTAAACTGTACACATTTTACGCGAGGTCTGTCTTACATCCACATAATGAAGGTAGGTTTCTCTTGAGTGTAGACGGTGGGGTTCGGAGGGTTCAGGTCCTCAAGGCACGAGGCGCCTCACGTGTCTGTTGCCCACGCTCAAGGTTATCTCCACTGTACGGACCCTCTGCAGTGTGGGGCAGACGTGTTTTACAAACAAGGACATTCTGGAGACAGTGTACCCGGCAAAGTCAGGAGGATGACGTGAACACATCGCTCCCTCCCAGTCCTCGGAGCCCATTCAGGTTCCCCCACTTGTCCAGACATAGTCCCTCACTGCAGAGGGATCCATGTCCTGGCTCCCGGTCTGGATCCTGGTCGTGGAAAATGATTCCTTTTAGTGGAATTGATATCTAGAAGCCAGATCAGGGCGCTTTGTGTGCACTTTGCTATTGGAGTACGCTGTTCCCAGGTGGGCCTCTGAGTGGTCGGCACTACACACACACACTTATCTCTACTCCGTCTCTGTCTATTGAAATCCAGGAGTCCACACTGTCTCCACGTCCAGTTCTAGTAACAAACCACACCAAAACTTAACGACGTAAGACGCAACCATTTTATTGTGCTCACGGACTCTGTCAGGAGTTTGGATCGGCAGGGTGGGAATAGCTAGTGTTTGCTCCGCCATATCTGCGGCCTCCACTGGAAAGACTCCAAGGCTGGAGGTCGTTCGACACAGAAGGGGACCCGTCAGCTGGAGGGAGGATCATCGAGGCCCCGGCTCTCCACTCCTCTGGTGGTGGGTGCTGGCTCACAGCCGGAACCTCAGTTGGGGCTCTGGGCTGGAACTCACACGTGGGGGCCTCCCCGTGTGGCAAGGGCTTCCTCGCATCATGGTGGCTGGGCCTAAGACCAAGGCTCAGGGATAGGCCTGGCCCTGGGAACTGGCAGGGCATCCCTCCTCTCTCGTGTTCCTGGCCAGGCAGTGGCAGCGCCAGGCTCAGTCCTGGGTGGGGAAGGTCGGGGGCTGGGTGGTCACAGACTCTAGCGCTCCGTGAAGAATGTGGAGGCAGCGTTCTGAAAGGACCACAAGGTTCATTCTAGTCTCCTCCCTTTCGGTAGTTGTTATTCCCGTTTTCTATCATGAGAAATCTGGCTGCCAAGTTTATTTACTTGGTTAGTGTTAGTACCCTCTGAAACGCATCTCCACCTCGACCTCCTCTCCTCCATGCGGGAGCCTCTCCCTGCTGGGCTCTCAGCACTCCCCGACCAGGCCATCCCCTGTCCCCTGCAGGCGATGCCTTCCTCGTCCCGCTCAGGCACACCCCTCCGTGGACGCCCGTGCTCTCTGACACCCCGGCGCGGGTCTGTTTTCATTCATGCCACCAGGCAGACGTGGCAGGGAAACTCTCAGGATATAAGCTACGTCCCTTAGTTCTGAGAAATTTAGTTGCTTATTTGTAATGCCTTCTATTTTCTTCTGTTCTCCATTTTAAAACAATTCTTAATACAGTATTCAGATGTCAGATGCCCTTGGCCTTTCCTGTTTTTATGAAGGCCCGCTGACTGCTCTTAACACCTGCCCCTGGATCTCAGTGGTTTGACACGTGAGCCTTGACTTCTGGCCCACACACAGTTGTGTCCATATTCTTGCTTGTACAGCAGTCCAGAGGGGTGAGTTGGAGACCCAGGCCCTGTCTATGTCTGACTGCACCATCTTTACCCCCTCGCCCAAGATTGCTGCTGAAGGGCAAGAGACTCCGGAGGTGTGCTAACTAACCGTGGTTGGAGTGACGCTCAAGCTCCTTTGACCAGATCTGGTGCCTTGGCTCCACCTAGAGGCCGGGGCTGGAAGTGCAGCTGGAGCTCCATACGGAGAGGCCAGCTCGGGACAACCTTGTAGTTTCCATTTCTGTGTTGTTTGCATTTTAAGTGGACTTTCCTGGAGATGTCCTCAGTTTTATCTTCCCGATTTTCATTTCTGCTATCATGTAATTTTCAAGTTGATAGTGTCCTGTGTGTTCCCTGGAATCGTGTTCTCTCATCTCAGATGGGTTTGGGGGCTGTTTTGCTTTAGATTTTGCTCTTCTGCAAAATTGGTTTCTTCCATTTTTTTTTCCCCTTTTGTGTGAACTTCTGTGGAGTTAGAAGCTTTTCCCTGTGAATTTGGTGTTTCCTGCATTCAGTTTCGGCTGGTAGACTGCAACCCAGTGCCCTGTGCTGCCAATGGAGAACGCTGAATTTGGGCTTTTTTTCTCGGACAATTCAGGTTCCTTCAAAAACAGTCTACCGGTCTCTTGCCTGAAGGAAGCAGGTTTTCTGAGAGTTGAATATGGAAATAAAGTTAAGCTTTTACTCAGTCCCTCTGTTTTTCAAGATGCTGCCAACAACCGTACTGGGCGTCCCCAAGTCCAGACACTGTGTCCCCTCCAAGAATAGAAGCTTCTGGTCTTCATCGGGAGTGGGGGAGGGCAGTTGCTAGGCTTTTCAGAGTTCGGGCTGGAATCCAGGGCGGAGCGCCTTGGGTAGACGCTGGCCGAGCTGCTCCCCCCACGCCCAGAGGCCTGGGGGCTCAGGCACACAGGGGTGGTCTGAGTGTCCCTTCCTGTGGAGGGTGCTCCTTCCTCAGGGGAACCAGGGCTGCTTATGGCTCACCCCTCCCCTCGGCTTCCGAAATTGTGTTTCCTCTTCACTTCTCTGTGTTCTTTGTGGTTTAATTCTTTTTTTTTTTTTTCCCCATTCTGTTCCAATGGAGAAAGTGGAAGGAAATGTGTTTCAGCCTGCTGCTTTTAACCAGCACTCAGGACTGTAGAGTGCTGCTTGCTTTGCCGGCTGTCTCTGAAGAGTAACCGACGTGGCCTGGCTTCTTGTTCTTACCAAGAGCCCAGGGAGACCTGACCGGTGACCGAGTCGTGTTGCACAGGATCTGCGCTTAGGTCCTGTGCATGGCCACGGGCTGGCCTCGCTGGGTCCCGTGTTAGGGTCTGTGCGTCTCCGGCTTTCTTCCGTCTGCCTTTGTGACACCCGCGGATTCGCTCTTCGCTGCTTTTCCCTGAGAGTCCAAAGCAGGAGCTGAGGCCTCGGGTACTTTCCTCCCCGTTGCTCCCAGGCCTTGGCTGCTGCCCTGGTTCTCAGGAGGGCTCCCCCCGCCCCCTGATGTGCGGGATGCGTTTCCTCCAGCAGTGCTACCTGGTTTCACCTGTTTCACAGAACCATCTTCCCTCCTCGGGGAGGGTGCTCCAAGGTGGAGGGCGGAGGGAGCACTGGCCCGCGGAGTTCTGGTCCCGAAGGAATCCGCCGCTGTGCCCACTGCGCGGACTTGGTCCTGGGCATGAATCAGGTTTCCGCTCTTATTCTCTCAGGGCAGACCTGTGCCCACGGGCCAGATCCAGGCACCCGCTGTTTTCACGGCCCTTGAGCTAAGAGCGGTTTTCCTATTTTTAGGTGATTGTAAAAACAAAAGATTTCACGACACATGAGAATTAGGTGAAGATCAGATTTCAGTGCCCATAAGCAAAGAGCTGTTGCACCCTGCCTGCCCACGTGTTTCCGCATTACCCGTGGCCGTGTTTTATGCTGCGGTGGTGACGCCGAAACTTACGACGGGGACCTTGTCCCCACAACGCCCAAGAAGGAAGTTTCTTCGAGGGTCAGGTCTCCCTCTGAGCGTTTCGTGGTTGACGGAAGGAGAGGGGTCAGCAGGGCCAGCACGATTTCTATCGACATCGGTGGTCAGCGTGGTGGGGTCTTCACTTGTTCCGCCTCTAAATCACGTTCCGTCTCCTCCTCTTTGAGACCGCAGCCCAACTGGCCTGGTTCGGGGTGCAGAGGAAACGTTCGATGGAAGGGAGCCTGCCGCGCAAAGATTCTGTCCCTGGCTTCTCCCGCGTCCTCTGCTGCCCCCAGCCCCTCCCTCCACCCTTCCCAGCCCCAGGAGTGTGCCTGGCTCCGTGCTGGGCACAGAGAGACAGGGAGCTGGCACAGTGCTCCTCTCCTGGCTCACCGGAGACTTTCTGCCACTGGTCCATGTTCTGAGAGTTGACAGAACCGGCGTCACACCTTTTGCAGGTGACAATGCCAAGTCAGAGGACTCTGTTCATCCAAAACAGACTCCTGTCTGCGGGCCCTGAGAACCGCCTCCCCTACCTGTGTGTTTCTACCTGTGGCCTTGGGATGTGCTGGGCCCGGAGACCCCAGATGGGCCCTGAGCCCGGGTCAGCCACATCAGTTACAGGCAGCGGGACCGCGGAGCACAGAGGCGTGAATGGTGCCGACCAGTGGTGCCGGGTCAGGTCCAGGCAGAGTCCTCGGGGCCCTGGGCCAGCGTGGGAGGCAGGTGCCCGGCTTCCAGCCCCAGACCCAGGCGTGTCGTGTCCACCGATGGGGATGGGATCTGGCACTGTGGCCTCTCACTCTCCCTTTTTCCCAAAGAAAAGAAGTTGTTGAATGACAGTTGATTGAATCAGCTCACCCGTTACAACTGGAACACAATGGGTGCCTTCATGGAGGGTGAGGTGGTGCAGGTGCTGTGCTGTCAGGTCTCCACTGTCAGTAACTCTGTTTCCCCTTCTCTGTAGGACTGACAAGTCGACCCCACTGGTCAACAAAGGCCAGCCGAGAGGACCTGGTAATTATTTCCTGTGGAACTGGGCTTTGTTTTCTGCCTGGTCGCGGGGGTGGGGGTGGGGGTGGGGGTGGGGTGGGGTGTCCAGCTGTGGCAGCCCAGCCCTGTATGAGGGTCCCGCCACCCTCCGCCCAGCAGTCACCCTGCCCACTGAGGAGCCTCTGATGCTCCTGGGGCTGCTCTGTCCGGTGTCCTGCAGTCCTGTCCCCTGGCAGGGATCTACAAGTCTGTGCAGGAGGTGGCCACATCCGCCTCACTCTGACACCTGACACTCTACAAAGGGTGCAGGGAGATCACAGGGTTGTCTGGCCTTTGGGGTTTTTCCCTCGATAGATGAGACGATGTCAGAAAGCTTGCCTTTCCGACCTGACACTAGGGCTTTCGTATTCCCTGTCTCTGTCTCGCGGTTGCGACGGAGGGGCATGTTGTGAGTTGATTCATTCTGGTCCTAAAGCGGTGGATCTCTCCGGAACAGAAGCTCCGAGCCCTCTGTCCAACGCCGCGGCCACGCAGCCCCCCGCGCCCATGCCCAGGAAGTCACAGACGGTGAGCTCTGCTTCCCTGCTGGGGCCAGGAGGGCGAAGGTCACTCCCTGAGAGCTCAGAGGGCGCGGTCTTTCCCTCCTGGCCTGGTTGGGGTGGGGCGGCTTCTTCTGGGTGCCTGGTCATTGGGATCTGGGCGGGATTCAGCCCCAGAGCTCACCAGCCAGTGGGCTCAGCCCTCTGGCCGCAGCGCCAGAACACCCCGTGTGCATGTCCGGCTCCGGTTGCCGCGGCCCCAGCTCTGCACGGCCCCTGGGCCCCTGAGCTCCCGAGCCGCCCCATCTTGACATCTGTGGGCTCCCAGGCCTGCAGTCGGGACCCCTGGGCCCAGGTCTCTGCCCAGGAGCAGGTGCCTCCCTGCCACACTGACCTCTGAGCCCTCCTCCCCTCACCCAGACCAAGCTGAAGCCCAAGCGGGTCAAAGCCCTCTACAACTGCGTGGCCGACAACCCGGATGAGCTGACCTTCTCTGAGGGGGACGTGATCATCGTGGATGGGGAAGAGGACCAAGAGTGGTGGGTGAGTCGGGGTGCGGGCCCAGGAGGGGCGGGGCCGGCTCCCTGCCCACGCGGCCTGAGGCCTCCTCCCAGGCGAGGCCCTCTCTGCCCCTGTGTCCTCAGGCCTGCGGGCCACGGTGCCCCTGCTGGCCCCAGATGCTGCGTCCACTTCCGAGTGTACCTGATCGACGCCCCGGTGGGACCCGTCCTTACTCGGTGGGCAGGCCACTTGGGCTGCAGTTTCCAGAGCAACCCGAGGGTCTGAAATGAGGTTCCCGCATCAGAGGCCCCGAGTTTCTGGGTGGTGTACCCCTGTGTTTCCCATTTGGAATGAAGCTTGTACAGAAAGCTGAGCTGGAGGGCGTGGTCCTGGGTGTCAGTCAAGGTCCTGAAAGAGCTGCAGCGTCCGGATGGGAGCTGGAATGGGGGGGCACTTCCCCTGGTGATCTAAGAATCCGGAGTCAGCATTCATAGGCTGGGGGACTTGGGCCAGTCGCTTATGTCGCTAAGCCTTAGCAACCTGACCTGTGAAAGGGAGGTCACAGCCCCCGGGCCCCAAGGAGAGGAGGCTGAACAGAAAGCACAGTGGATTAAGGAACCTGCCCGAGGGGTGCACAGAGCACCTGGCAGCTCTGCCTGGGAGCACAAGCTACCGGCCCGCTCTGTGCACGGAGCCCGGGTAGTTCGTGGTCATAGGGTGCCGGCTGGGCTCGTGGAAATCGCCGTGCTTTGTCCAGTGTAAGGAGCACTGTTAGTCGGCACCCCTAGCTCAGCTCCGACCCGTGTGAGCTGTGCTCGCTCTGCCGCCGGGGGCTTGGTGAGCTCGTGCCTGGCCCGCTGCCCTGGCACAGCTGGGTTCCGGAATCTTCTTGTGGCTTCTCTCCCCTTGAGGGACCCAAGCGTCTGCTGGTCCGGGCTCCTCTGTCAGTCCTGCCACACACAGCACAGGTGGTAAAGGGGGCCGCCAGGCCGAGAGGCTCAGTGGTGGAGCGTTGACCCTGCACCAAGAGGTCGCCGGTTCGATTCCCGGTCAGGGCACATGCCCAGGTTGTGGGCCCGATCCCCAGTGGGGGGGCATGCAGGAGGCGGCCAATCGATGTTCTCTCTCATCGATGTTTCTGTCTCTCTCTCCCTCTCCCGTCCTCTCTCTAAAAATCAACAAAGGGGGGGGAACAATGACATTAAAAAAAAAACCACCCTGGCCAGTTTTGCTCAGTGGTTATTGCGTCAGCCTGCAGGCCAGAGAGACCCAGGTTCGGTTCCCGCTAAGGGCATGTACCTCGGTTGCAGTTTGTCCCCGGCCCTGGTTGGGTCGTGCGGGTGGCAGCCACTCGATGTGTCCCTTTTCACGTCGATGTCTCTCTCTCTCTCTCTCTCTCTCTCTCTCTCCCCCTCCCTCCCTCCCTCCCTCCCACTCTATCTGAACAAAAAATGGGGGGGGAAAATGTCCTTGGGTGAGGATTAAAAAAACAAAAAACCTCACCTGGGGAATACAGGAAGGTATAAAGAAGACAGTAAATGTTGCTCATGATCTCAGCCTCCACTCCCTTCTCCCCAAAATAACTATATTTTGATGGGTTGGTTTTTTTTTACTTTTATCTGCCTAAATAATTTACATTGTTCAGATGATACTTGATGTATAACATATAACTTACCCAGAGCAAAATAAAATGGAATTGTTGAAGTCTTCATAAACGCATAGCTACATTTCCACAGGGCCAAGTCACGTTTGCCACTTTCTGTGACTTTGTAGCTCACAGACTCTGACACAATTCCTTCATCCATTAAAGGGAAAAAAGAAAGGCAAAGCTGTGTGTCTGCTGAGGCTGCCAGGGTCCGAGGCCAGGGCCTCTGCAGACCCGAACGCACCTGTCACAGGTCTCGCAGAGGGGCCCTCGCTGCGTGAGTCAGAGAAGGGAGAACAGCTCAGGTGTTTTCCCCAAGTGATTCTTTCTCAGAAGAGATTCTTCCGAACAATATATTTTTCTCCAAATGCTACAGTGCTCTTTAATGTTTCAAACATCTGGAATTTTTTTTTTTATCATCCTCACCCGAAGACATTTTTCCATTCTTTGTTCAGATAGAGCGGGAGGGAGAGAGAGGAACAGAGAGAAAGAAACATCGATGTGAAAAGGACACATCGAGTGGTCGCCACCCGCACAACCAACCAGGGCAGGGGACAAACTGCAACCGAGGTACGTGCCCTTAGCAGGAACCGAACCCGGGTCTCTCCGGACCGCAGGCCGATGCTCTAACCACTGAGCCAAACCGGCCAGGGCAAACATCTGGAATTTTTATGACAACCTGAACTTTTCCCCTTTTCAGATTGGCCACCTCGATGGAGATCCCAGCCGCAAAGGAGCATTTCCCGTGTCTTTTGTGCACTTTATTGCAGACTGAATTGCTACTGAACAAAAACACTTACGTTCGTGTTTCGTTCTTGGTACCCAAACTCTTGCCAGATAACCGGTTTCATGAACTGTACGGTAGGCCCACTTACTCTGACGCCGCTGTTCTGTTCCATATATACAAATGAATCGTTTTTATAATTTGTGATTTTCATGAAACATTGCTGTACTTTTATGAGGAACAACTGAATTGCCTGAAAGGTGAACTGAACAGTTATTTTAACTATATACTCAAGACCCCGAATCTATAGAATTAGCTGGACCTTAAAAACATTTGGGTATCGGAAAGAAATTCTTCCTGCTTTCCTTGGCCCATTTCCGGCATCCATGACCTGAAGCGTAATTGTTTAAGAAGCCAGTAAACGGTGCTGTCAGTTCACCTTCATAGACTTTTTTTAAAAATACCTTTTCAAGAGTTCCTTTGAAAGCCACCCAATGTTCACTTAAAGCAACTTGGAAAGTTATATATTAGCACTGTACTTTCCAAACCTAATGTGTGAGGTTGCAACTGTCACTGTGTTCTGCATGTATGTGTAGCCTGTTGTGAATGATCCTGCTTAACAAAACTACCGGTAGTTTATCATGGCGTACGGTAACAGTTCCTCCCGCTCCACGCTCTGCAAGATTGCCTTTCCTCGGTGGTTAGAAACTGAGGATGCTGATTGCCAAGGAGTGCTTTTAACGCTTACATGCTTTAGGTGTTTCGGAAATTGCCTCTGCGCTTTCTTCATCACAGATAGCACCAGGGTGCAGACCCCGCTGCACCACCGACTTGCTGCTCCCTGCGGAGTGCATCGCTGCTTCCCTTCCTAGCTCATGAGAATGTCGACTCAGTTCAGTGTCTTGTATTTATATACTACACCCACAGGAATGGTAGTTACACTGTCTTGAAATTTAATCAGTCCCTTTGTTTGTAATCAAGAGCGTAATCAGAAATCTGTCGGTCCCAGGGAATGAAACATTCCTGAACATCCCAGTTTTACTATGGACGTCATCGTATCCTTCCTCAGCTTAAGCTACTGGGGCTGGGGCTTAGGTTGTATGTGAGAAAATCAACGTTCATTAGCTTGATGAACTTACCCGTCATACCTCTACTTAGTCATTCTGAGCATGGTAGGAGGAACATTGGGGATGTGGGCATTCTGAGGATGAGCAGGCATGTGATGCCCACTGGGATGTTTACGGAAAGCGAAGGAATAAACTGAAGTGGAGGCTTGGAAAGCAAGGCGACAGTGCCTGGCTGTATGCGTCATGATGGTGCATTTGAATGAAGCAGCCCGTCTTTGTCATGCGAGACTCTTTAAGTGTAGTTTTTGTCTTTTGTTTTGTTTTTTTGCTTTATTGATTTGAGAGAGAGAAGAAGGGAGAGGGAGGGAGAGACAGAAACATAGATGAGAGAGAACATCGATTGGCCACCTCCTGCATGACCTCACTGGGGATGGGGCCTACAACCTGGGCATGTGCCCTGACTGGGAATCGAACCAGCAACCTCTTGGTTCATGGGTCAGTGCTCAACTAGAGCCACACCAGCCAGGCTTGTTTTGGTTTTTAACTACATTGCATTTTTTGTTGCTTTTATCAAGGGAGACAGAACAAACTGGAATGTTTTATGATGTTGTATGGCAACTGCTCCTTGCCTTTCAAAGTTCTGGGTAAAATGTGTTAGATGTGTAATTAAAATCTTTTTTTTTAAAGCACTACGTCTATTTTCACTAATTGTTAATTTCTGTTGTTTGAACCCTCAATTTAGTTAATTTTCTTGTAGATTTAAGAAAGGAAACAGATGTATTTTTGCACAGTGCACTTCTTGTATGTATTTTAACACACTCCTCCCCCTTCTGTATCTTACAATCAGCCTTTTGACTCTTGGTGCCAGCTATATAAGGAATTAAAGTTGATTCATATCAACGTTTGAATACCACTCCCAAACGAATTTATCAGGTTCACTGGTACATAAGTATCTAGGAAATATTTTTCCAATTTACAATTTGATGGTGCTCTTGTGCAGTAATTAATGACTCTTGCCAGAGGAGAAATTGTAAACTTCCCTGCTAATATCCTTTCCTACTTATTTGCTCTTTGCAAATTAAAAAACAAGTGAGAGAAAGGAAAACATTGTAGATATCTATTTATATTTCCGGTTTATGTTTCATGAACTTAGCTGCAGGATTCTGGCATTTTGTGTGCCATTTCGATCAGATCTGCTTCTGGGGACGCGGACTCGGAACGATGTGCACAGACAGACCTAGTTACTGTGTGGCCTGAGGGTGGGCAGTGGAAGGTGCAGCCTGAAATGCTCTTTGAGATGTATGATATTCAATTCATTCACTTGATTACTTTGTTCTAGTTGCAGCGCAACTGTATATATTGTATAACCTAAATCAATTCTTATTTTCATTGTCCTTAACGCAGTGATTTATAATTAGAGCATGTTTAATAAGTCTTCTTGTTAACTAGTCATTTGACTAGAAAAAAATAAAATACTTTTAAATGGACATGGTGTTATTTTTGTTTCTAATCCTTTAAAAACAGTCCTATGAGAACTTACATGCTTATATGCACAACCAATGGACACAGACATTAGGTTGTGGAAAGCAGGAGAGGGGTGGGATCAGGGAGGAGGGGAACAAGGGACATCTATAATCCTTTAAATAATAAAAAAGGGATAAAAAATCAAAACAAATACACTAGCCTACTGTGTGTGAGTCCTTAAATACTAGTACTTTTGACATGGGCGGTAATCAAATCTAAGACAAGTATAGTGGCTTACTAGCATGTTACCCTGACAATATCCTTTTCAAGTTTTAGTTTTTGTGTCTTGAGTTGGCAGTGTCCCCATTTCAAACCAGCAGGACCCTCGTCCCCGGACCAGAGCCCAAGCCAGAGAGACCACGTCCCTGGGAAGGGCCGCAAAGCAGACTGCACTGGTCTCCCTCAGAAAGTCCCCAGCCTTTACTGCTCACCAAGCACACTCTGGGACCCTTACGGGGTTAGGTTCATTTGTGTTGAAAAGTGACAAATGAGCCTGGCCAGTGTGGCTCAGCGGTTAGAGCGTCGGCCTGCGGTCCTGAGAGACCCGGGTTCGGTTCCCGCTGAGGGCATGTACCTCGGTTGCAGTTTGTCCCCGGCCCTGGTCGGTTGTGCGGGTGGCAGCCACTCGATGTGTTCCTTTCACATCGATGTTTCCCTCTCTCTCTCTCTGTTCCTCTCTCTCCCTCCCACTCTACCTGAACAAAAAATGGAAAAATGTCCTCGGGTGAGGATAAAAAAAAAAAAAAGAAAAGTGACAAATGAGCCTGGCCAGTGTGGCTCAGTGGTTGAGCATCGACCCTGCACTAAGAGGTCACCAGTTTGATTCCCGGGCAAGGCACATGCCCAGGTTGTGGGCCCGATCCCCAGTGGGGGGCGTGCAGGAGGTAGCTGACCTATGTTCTCTCTCTTTGATGTTTCTATCTCTCCCCCTCCCGTCCTCTCTCTCAAAATCAATAAAATAAAATAAATGTGACAAATGAGGTTTTTTTAGTCCCAATAGGTAGGTAACTTCACTGAGTTAACTCACTGTTAATAAAACACATTTTAATAGAAAAACAAATGACTGATGTTTTATACACTGCATTTTTTCTCTAGAAAATCTAGCAAGGGATCACTTCATATTTTCATAACAGTTCAGCGCTGTGGATTGAAACAACCGTTTGGAAAACAGCCGGACCTTCCTTCCCAGGACGGAACTCCACTGGCCGGCTGTCACGCCTTCTCAGACGTCAGCGCAGAGTCGAAGGCGGCGGATAAAACCCTGCAGATGGCTTGTGCTTGTTCCTACGTTAAGCGAAAGGCACAGTGAGAGCTCGTGCACCTGTTCCTGGACTGAATTTGACCAGCCAAGGTGTAAATCCTCCCTCCTGCCCTCTCCTAACCCTACCCCTCACACAGCCAGCCTGGGCACAGCTCGTCCCTCGCGTCCCCTCCCACGCTCCTCAGGGAAACGCAGGCGTGGAAACCGAGGGCTGCGGCCTCTGGGAAGGCCACCGGTCAGTAAGAACAAAGCAGGGCCTCTGCCCTCACCCGCTGTTTCCCCTGAACCTTCTGATCCTGGCACACGTGAGTGCTGCCACTGGCCCAGCGCCGTCCACAACCTGCAGGAGGTCTGCAAGCTGGCTGACTGGCCACTTGTTCACTACAGGGTGCCAGGTTTCAGATACAGCCTGAAGAGCATCTCTTCAGCCTTTGAAAAGCCTAAATCGTCTGGTTTTGCCACTTTATCTGATAACTGAGACAAAGCAAGGCTTGGAACCTCACCAGGCTGCTGCACTGATAAACCCAGAGGCTGTATTCTTCACTGCGGGCATCCGTAGTCTTCAGGGCCAATAAGCTTTTCCCTGCCCCCAGACCATCATCATAGCACACCATCCGGATGATTAAGTACAGAGCATGCCTATGTAACACATCCTGCAGAAGTCGGGGAAGAGGAAGACCATGACTATTTTACATGACTCTCCATCCTTTGTAACACGTTTTCCCACGCAGGGTTTTTTTGTGAGGCTTGAAACAGTACAACCGTCCCTTGTTTATCACGGTTAATCCGGTCCAGACTCTAGCGGTTGCACCTGGCGGTGAAGGATTCTGGGGTGCTCAAATACATAGGCCTACAGTCCATACATACAGTAATTGTAATTGTAATACAGGGGTGTATAATTGACTCAGACAACCGAGCACGCACTATCACTTTCACTGTCTCGACCAACTTTTTAATGAACATATTTGAAAAAACCGCAATAGAGTGAAACAGTGAAAGTCGAAGCGCGAAGCGGCAGGGACGACTGTACCAATGGATCTGGGAGAAGGTTTTACAGGTTTTTCACCCAAAGGGACGTTCCAGTATGCTCAGTTATGGGGCGCTCTGCCTCAAGCATTATGCCTTGCTCCTTAAATTCCAGAAAGACGGGTAAGATGACCTACGTTCACAGCCCAGCTCTCCAGACAGACAGCTGTTCGGAACAGGCGCGGGGTCCTAAGCGGACATGCACTGTGGGCCGGCAGCGGGGTGTTGGCCTGGCCCCACCACACAGGAGAAACAAAGGGAAACTCCTATCCATCCACCCTACGAAATGGGCCACTTTTAAGACCAGCTGCCTGGCATGTTTAGAACCCACCACTCTGCAACAAGCAGACCTACCCACAAGCGGGCCCTGAACTCCCCAGGACCTAAAACACGTTTTCCCTAGTGAGTTACTTACGTATTGATCTGACGTCGACACTTTTATACCATACTTGGAAACTCCCATAATAAATTCTTCCTCCAGAGGAACAAAAGGCAACTTTCCATCTTGCTTTAAGGCAAAAATAAATTACATGGCATACATTAAAAATTGTTACAGTAAGTCTGATCAGTCCACTTTAGTACCTGGCTATCACAAGCCCCAAACTCTTTAAAGAAAGTGGCACTCGCCGCAGCCCAGCAAGAATTTCTCTCCAAAGAGGCAGAAACATAGCCCCCCCCCCTTCTTTTTAACAGTCAACAAACCTGAGCAAAATTCAGATCAATGCACTCCAGGTTGCTGTTCTGTTCTTTTGTCTGGGATCAACCCTAATTTCAAGTTCAGACACTGCTCACAGATCCCAGTGAGGGTTCACTGTTTACATTAGAAAAATAAAGGTCTTTAAATACTAAAGTTTATACTCAGGTCAGCTCTCGGCCAGGAAACAGCCGCAGGAACCATTCCTCTCAACCACGCTGCATGGTACCCGGGTATTAGATCTGCCTGGTTACCCCCACGCCCCAGGGCTGTGGGCAGTACGACTGCTTGATGAACGGTTCCCCGGCTCTCGAGCAGATCAGTTAGTACTGTGAGCTCTGCAGAAATAAGTGTACCAGCAGATAACACTGGATGGTTTCCCGAGCCAAATGTCTGGTTCCAGCTCCCAAGTCTGAATACTGCCTAACTTGTCTTCTCTAAAACAAGGTCCTGCTGGCAATCAGTAGATGTTACAGACTGGACACGTGTCTATGAACAATCTGCCTACATTAAAGAGATTGTGGCAACCTCTTGCCAATGATTTCTCACAGTAGGTTTAAGGCAATTCCAGAACCCAAAATATATGGGGTAACAGTAATGCTATTGTCGATAATTCTGACAAGCCCAATTTCTCCAGTGTCGGGAAATTCAGCAGTCCTTATCAGGAGGACCCTAGTGTAACTTGGGGTGAAACAGTAGCAATCTTTCAGAATAACAGATCAGTTGTTTGCAAGTTGCTGGAATGATTTTATATTCCAAACTAAATCTGAGATACAGATCGTGTTAGCCCTGACTACCAAGAGTTCTCCGTTAAATAGCAAGTTAGACTGGCTGATTTACTCAGACAGAGGAGACTTCCTTCCAGGGGGATGTGGAACATTTAATGATCCCATTTGCTGTGACTTCAGAGAACATACATTCTTAAGAGTAACCGACACTCTCTGAACTGGTAAGGGAAATCTTCCCGTTGCCCTAACATCCCTTTGCTAATGAACAGAAGACACGCATTTTCATTTTCTACCTTCTTGACCTCGATTGCTGTTGGAAACAGTATGAATAAATAGGTGTGTCAGGTCAACACTGCAAATGTGACTGTTCGAAGAACTAGAACTCTTGTGGAGATCAGTGAGGTCTGCCAGACTGAAAGACAAACCTATGGTGTGTATCCAAGTCACCGCACTCGCTCCTCGTTTAACCAAGGTCGGCCGCCCCAGCACAGCAAAAACCGTCCGTGGGAGGGAACTGCTCTGTCCCACGCGCCTCAGTCCCCACAGCACCTTGCACCTGCTGCGACTGACCACGGCGCTCAGGGACATTTGAACCGTGGTAACAGCAAGGCTTCAGATAAGGCAGAAGAACTGGACGAACACATCTTTCTCCAAAGCCGTGAGTTTACTTTCTAGAATCTTACAAAATTGAACTTAGTTTTTTACCTGGGCGACATCTATATAATTTATCAGGTCTAGTGGCCCTTCAAGGCTTTTGCCTTCAGAGAGTTTCAGTTTTTCAATGGCACCAACATATTTTATTCGAAATTCTGCACAGGTATCTGAATTATTGTTGCTTTGCCCTAAAGGTGAAAGAAATATCGTGATAAGACTTCAAGAAAAATAGCTGTTTTACAGGATATTCTCAATCCCTTCCCAAATAAGAAACAGACTAAGAAAGATAAAATTTCCTTATATATATAATCTTTTTATAAAATGGGAAAGAACTTAAAATTTCATTCACCTTCTCCTCATTTACTATAAACGAAATATAAAAAACTAAGTAGGAACAAATTATTATCCTTCATTTCAAATTAACAAGAAAAATAAAATGTCAACTAGATAATGATGGAGTCCTTTTCTGATACATAATGACATACAGTTATTTTTCGGTTTCTTTTCCCTCTTTACCATGTTAACGCTGAACTTGCTTTTCTGATTCAGGAAACCTGACCTACTCCTACAATTCAGCCAGAAAAGACAATTTTTTTTTAAATCCTCACCCGAGGACACTTTTGCATTTATCTTCAGACAGAGCGGGAGGGAGAGAGGGAGGAAGAAAGAGAGAAAGAGAGAGAGAAAAACATTGATGTGAGAGAGACACATCGAGTGGTTGCCACCCACATGACCCCAACCGGGGCCAGGGACAAACTGCAACCGAGGTACATGCCCTTAGCGGAACCGAACCCGGGTCTCTCTGGTCCACAGGCCAACGCTCTAAACGCTGAGCCAAACCGGCCAGGGCCAATTATTTTTTTTTTATGCAGATAGAATAATGCTGGACAGGAAGTCCCTTAACTGTGTTAACAGGGTAATGAACTGTGCGACCTATAAAACCTAGTCAACAAAATCACTAAAGTATTTATGCTACCTACCACAGTAAAGAAATACCATGTAAAGACTTTTAGGTGATGTTCATGTAATAAAAAGACGCATAGCTACATTTTTCAATATCTTAAAGGCCTCATGCTTTTACATTCTCTTTTACATCGTATGTTTTTCTCCCCGCTCCTTTTACAGCTCGGCTAGTCTATGCTCCTGAAAGGAACAGCGCAAGGAGTTTAGACAAGTGAATGTAATAATCCAGTTAGACACTAGCTATTGGTGGGTTAGAAGCCATATTTTAATTTCTGAAGAGCTGCTCATTTCAGTGGCTGTATTAATGTTTTCGGTGTCCGTGACAGATGCTGCCCTTAATTACCATGTGCTCCTGGCATTCACAAGCTGGTGTATCTGGGCAAACGGCTCCTTAATCCTTTTCATCAGCAAGGCATTTGTCCTACACCCCACATACAATACAATTCATGCTCTGCCACCCCATTTCTTAAAAAGCTATTTTGAAACTTCTAAATGCCATCCCGATGTTCTCCACATGCAGTGGGCCATCGCTCCGGCCAGTCTCCAAGGCAGCGGCTTTCTCTAACCACCTCACACTCCCAACCTGCATTCCACCAGATCTTGAGCTTTTTCTAAACTATTATCAAAAATGACAGAGGAGCCCTAAACAGTTTGGCTCAGCAGTAGGGGCATCAGCCCATGGACCAAAGGGTCTCAGGTTCAATTCACGGTCAAGGGCATGTACCTAGATTGCAGGTTCGATCCCCAGCCCCGGTTGGGGTCATGCAGGAGGCAACCAATCGATGTGTATCTCACATCGATATTTATCTCTCTCTCTCTCCCTCCCTCCTCCCTCCCACTCTATCTAAAAATAAGTAAATAAATAAAAAATGGAAAAATAACCTTGGGTGAGAATTAACAATAAAACAAATCAATGGAAAGGTATCCTCTGATGAGGATTAACAACAACAAAAAAAGACAGAGGAGAGAGAGAAAACTCAAATACACAAGAACTCATGCCACCCTGGTAAAACTGTGAGCCTCAGACAATTAGTGATCCAAGCTTGTCTGTACCTGAGCTCTTGGTAGAATCTGTGTCAAGGCTGGCCACCGTGCTGGATCGAGAAAGGCCCCCCAGGCTGGAGTCTACAGACTGAGAAATAAACAGATAAGCGTGAAGTACTTAAACATAATTAGAAGCACTGTCTTCTCTCAAGTCCTCTACCAAACATTCAAATTATTTATTATAGTTGAATCAACACATAATCCCAGCTGCTCTTCCCATAACCCAGTACTGAATAAATGTGGTGTCACCATTGCCAACCTAAATCAAAGGCAGTTCCTCTGTCTCTTTACAAGACACCTAATATTCCTATCGTAAGTGAAAATCTACACCTTGCTTCACGTTATCTCCACTGAAACCACAAAGAACCCTGTGCAGAAAGCAGGCAGGGAGTACCACGCTGTTTCATTAACAAGCGAGCAGAGAGACCCAAGGAGGTGAAGTGATTTATCCCAAGGTTACATCTAGTCAACACCCCAGACCTCCAACCTAGGCAGGGCTCCTGATTCCCTCCTGGTGCTTCTGCAGTTATTCTGACTAGTTAACTGCAGCACCAGTTAACACAGGCTGGCAGACCAGAACTTAACTATCAGTGTGAATTACAAACAAAAACCAAAGTATTAAGCAAAATACAAAGCATCATACACGTTAGTGTAGAATTATAGTTATGTACACATAACACAAATCCTAGAATTCAAGTAGTCCAGCCCCTTAATTGCATGCAATTTCTAGCACGTAGAACATTTTAAAATCGGTTTGTTTCAATGAGACCATTTACAGGTCCTGTCCCACCTAGGTTAGTGGATTTAAGAATTTCAGAAAAATCTACCAAAACAAAAAATTAAACCACAGAATGTGTCTCTAAGGCAAAAAACGAATGTTAAAACACACCTAGTGTGAAGACTATCAGCTGGTCTGCCATGGTTAGTACCCTTCATGCAATATCAGAAGAAACAAAATTCACACTGCTTGCCAATTCCATCCCCCTACCTTGCTCTTAGTACTGATTTCACTACTTTGGGAACTGCTACTACTGTGTCGTTTTTTGCCTTTCCGAAACATTTTTCACTACAGCTTGATCCAGAGGAGCTCCCCTAGAAAAACAAATGTTGAGTTACACCAAGAAAAGCAACTTTAAATCACTTTTACGCATCATAGGAATAAACACTATCAATTCCTTCCAGTTAGTTCCATGGTGCAATCCTCTCCTTTAAAACATAAAATTTTGACCACAAAATGTGGACACTTATTTTTTTTTTCATTATTTCTTTTTACATTCTAAAAATCTAACCCATAGAACCAAAAAGGGCAGAAACCTTGTCCTGCCTAGCGGTGTGAAAAGCACTGTCTTCAGAAGTAACAGACATGTCACTTAGTTCTCAAAATACTGAAGTGCCTCAGTCCTCTTTAATCGATTCCGGATACTAAGATTCAGTTACTGTTTGGGGTTCAGGTTCCAAAAACGGTAGGAACAGAAGACATTTACAGTGCTAGATGCTACCTACACCTTTGACCCGCAAGGCTGCAGGGTTCCAGCCAAAGCCGCCCACCCGGGTCACCAGGCTAATGACAGGTGGGCCAAGTTTGGAAGTTAGACCTGGCTGCAAGCTCTTCCCACCCTGCTTCCCACGTGCTCCTCGCGGCGGTGCTGTGCCGCCACGTGCAGGTGCGCAGGGACGTAAACAAAACAGCCGCCTCGCCCGCCCGGGAGCGGTCCAGGAACCGACCAGAGCCGGCACGAGCAGCAGAGCTCCTCCCCGCCCCACAAAGCAGAGCCGCACCCGGAGGGGGCCCCGCGGCGCTCCCACTCCCGTGGCCCTGCCCACGCGACCCATCCACACGCGGCCCCGCGGTCACAGGAGCTGCAGTCCCCGCCCAGACAGGAATCGGTCCCCCGGGGCACCGCATCCTCCCACAGGCCCCGGCCCGCTACCTGCTCCGCCGCCCATCTCGCGCCGCCGCGGGGCCTGGGCTCCCGGCCCAGCGAGGGCGGGTCCCAGTGGAGACCGCGGCCCCCGCGACCCCACCCATCCGCCCCGCTGCGGGCCTCCCCGTCGGCGCCATCCTCGGGGCTAGGTCCCCGGTCAGGCCCAGCAGACGCGGCGAGGGCCGGGAACCTCACCTCACAGCCGCGGGCGCATCGCTGGGGTCGTCTGCGGCCGGACACCCGCCGCCCAGCAGCCGGTGCAGGCGCAGCCACTCCGGTTCCTACTCCAGCGCCAGCTTTTCCGGGCCCCTGGCCCCGCCCACCGGGCCCGCCTCCGCGGCGTCACACTGGCGCACTCCTGACTCCGCCCCCGGCTTCCGGACTCCAGGCGGAAAGGAACCGCGCGAGCCGGGGTCTCCGACCGGAAGCCGAGGGGCGGGGCCTAGCGTCGCGGGCGCCAGAGCGCCGGAAGTCGTGCTCTCGGTAGAGGGGTTTTTCCTCCTTTGGTTCCCCGTGGCTATGCTTCCCGCTTAGAAAGGCTCTGGCGACGGGTGTCGCACGCCTGCTTCGCCTTCAAACTTCTGAGATGTCTGTGATTCCTGCGGAGGAGAGCGACCAGCTGCTGATCCGACCCCTGTAAGGGACCCGCGAGGGGGAAGGGAGCCACGGGCTGAGAGGCGGGGAGGGCCACCTGGATGGTTGGCCGCCTCGGTCGCCCGCCCCCCCTCGAGCATGCCTCGGCCGTCGGCCCCTGGTCCGCGGTCGCTGAAGGAAGGGGTTTGGACAACTGTTGGCCGGAAGGGACATGCTGGGTTGATGGGGATGTTGCTTTTCCTTCGGTCTTAAGGGAGAGTATGTTGGCATCGGGGGTGGGAGAAGCCTAAGGGGGCGTTGGGCGCCTTCATACACGCTGGACAGAGGCCGACCCTGAGGGAGCGGGCGCCGCTGATGCTGGCCGGAGCTGAGCCCCTGGGGACGGTGCAGCGGTGCGAGAAAGAGCTAAATCTGTTTCCTGTTACCCCCAGGACTTGACAACGTGCCAGGATGTGGAAGAGAGGGAGTGAACGAGGAATTTGATACGAGTTCTGTTTTGAGCTCAGACCCTCGTGGAATAAGGAAGGTAGAAAGCTGGAGAGGAGGAAAAGCAAGGTGCTAAGGACAAAAGCTCAGCCCCTGATTGTCTAGAGAAGCTGGTCTTTCAGCAGAGGGGGCCTTCTGCCAGAGACGCACTTGACAGATCTGGAAGGCTGCTTAGAAAGGGAAATGTAAAGGTGGAGAACTTACTCTGTAAGTAAGCAGTTCGAATCCACAAACATGCGTTTAGTGTTAGGTATTAGAAGTGCAACATGGATGGGCGCATTTTTTCCAAAAAGGTGAAAGTATCTACTTAGCACATTGTTGACGGGCAATTTTACGCAGAATTTATCTCCTGTCACTGGCTATTTTTTTGTAATTGAGTATGAAAGTGAAACGATATAAATAAACTTCAGTATACTGTATTTGTACATAATGAATTTAAATGAAACTGTACATATCTGCTACATATTTTATACATAGAGGTTTTAGTAATTTTTTTTGGCATGGTATACTGTATAGCAATCACCTTTTGAAACACACACTTTACACGTTCTAGTTGGATTTTTGTTTTATGCCAGTGACTTTTTTTTCTAAAATGTGGGCTTTTAGTTGCCCTGAAAGCCTAAAAGGTGAATCAATGTAAGGAGCTCTTTTAGAAGGACCAGAAGAAGTGTTAAGTTCTGAGCTGCACTCATTAGAACAGCAGATACCATTTTCTAGCTACTTCAAGAATATAGAATGGTGTGCTGTTTTTCAAACTTCGACCCTCAGGGCAAAGAGTCACAAATACAATAATCCTATATTACCCTGAATTTCAAAATTGAAATAGCTAATGCAAGTGCAAACACGAGTTAACTCATGAGCGGTCAGCAACGTTTGGGCATGAAAGGTCAACATTAACATTCAATAAGTCTTTGTTGAGCACCTACTGGGGGAATAACATGTCTTGCACTGCTTAGTTAACACCTGTCAGCTCTTCACGTGTACAGCGCTGTCAGCTATCAAGCACCACACTGGGCACTGGGGATACAAGTAGGAGAGAAGGCCAAGTTCATTGAATTCACCCTTTCAGAGGGAATTTCAGTGCAAAATGGAAACGTACAGGAGAGAGCATTTGGAATAACAGGAGACCATTACTTTGGAGTCAGATCTGAAATCCAGTCCCTATTCTGTCACTTGCTAGGTCAACAAACTCACTAAACCTGTTTCCTCACGGGGAAATAACATAGCAGCTGTTACTGTGAGGAGTAAGGGTCACAAGGAGTGAGGGTCACTCTGAAAATGGTTACTGTTACTGTAACTACAGGTAGGCATTGGGCTGAGTGCCATGAGCACGTGGAACCCCTAGGGATTCCAGCAGATTGAGGAGAAGAGGATGCTTTCTCATGCATCCTGGGAAAGGTGCGCGAGCTGCATCTTAAAGAATGAGTAGGAGTTCAAGACAGGTACAGGATGGGGGCAAGGATGTTCCCAGCCAGAGGAAGTGGCCGATGTGCAAATGAGAGTGGTCACAGTTTGGGGCTACTTCCCTCTGCCCATGGGTAAAAGATTAGCAGATGAGATGGGGGAGGCTATCAGGGTCCATTTTATGAAGGACCTTGTAAACATACTAAGGAGTTTGGGCCTTTGTCATCAGTTATAGGGAGCCAATAAAGGGTTTTAAGCAGGGTGTGGATATAGTGGAAATTATGTTTTGGGGAAATTGAAGACTGTGCCTAGCAGCAGTGTAGCAGCTGAGTAAAAGGGTGTGTTGAGTGGGGGAATCTAGGATATAACTGAAATAATCTGGCTGATAAGCAGTAAGAGTTTGGGATAAGTGAAATGAGCAACTACTGGAAAGAAATAGGTTTGAGAGAGTAAGGAAGTGAAATCTTTAGAACTTTCAAACTGATGAGATGTTGTGGGGAAGGAAGAGATTAGAGAGGAGTGTTAGGATGACTCAAGAGTCGTGAGTTGAATAGCTGTTAAATGACCATTATTCACCCAAGGAATACAGGAAATGGGGGTCTGGAGTAAGTTTTGGAGTTTTGTTTTTATAACAACGATATGAAGATAAAATTCACATACAGCTCGCTCATTTAAAGTGTACAATTCAGTGGTTTTTATTGTATTCTCAGAGTTGTACAGCCGTCACCATTGACTCCAGAACATTTTTGTCATTCGGAAAGAAACCCTGTACCCAACAGCAGTCATATCGTTCAACCCCAACCTCCCTAGCCCTAGGCAACCACTCAGCTTTCTGTCTACAGATTTGCCTGTTCTAGACATTTCATATAAATAGGATCAGTTAATGTGTAACCTTTTGAGACTGGTTTCTTTTTTTTTATTTTTTGCATTCATCCTTAGAGCAGGAGGGAGAGAGAAAGGAAGAGAGAGAGACACATCGAGTGGTTGCCACCCACACAACCCCAACTGGAACCGGGGACAAATCACAACCGAGGTACGTGCCCTTAGCGGGAACCGAACCCAGGACTCTAGTCCGAGGGCCGATGCTCTAACCACTGAGCAAACCGGCCAGGGCGAGACTGCTTTCTTTCACTTAGCATAATGTTTCCAAGGTTCATGGAATTTGTACTCATTCACTAAGTATTTGTTAAGATTTACTGAGTGTCAGGCACTGTAGCTATCACAGTAGTGAACAACATAGACTGTGTCTCTGCTCTTATTTTAATAGTAAGAAACAAGTTACAAGTAATCAGATAATGGTAATTTCATGTAGTTATGATAGAAGGGTGTCAAGGGTAAATGAAAGGAGGTAGTCAAGAGAAGGACTCTGAGAATGTGTCATTTGGACTGAGACTCAAATGATACAAAGGAGTCAGCCATGTCAATACCTGAGGGTAGCGCACTCAGGAAGAAAGAAGCATGCACAAGGGACGCTAGGTAGAAACTAGCTTGGCACATCCGAATGTAAGGTGCCTGTGAGATCTCCCAGTAGGGATACCTAAGCACCAGGTGTGTTTTAGAGGTCTGGAATTCAGGAGAACAATCTGGACTACGTACAAACGGACTTGGAAGTCATCAGCATGACAAAAACATGGGGCTGAAGATCCAGAAGACTGAGGAGAACCCTTGCAGTATCAACATTGGATGGCTGGGCAGAGGCCGCTGAGTGGGAAGGCGTCTGAGGGGGACCCCGCAGACAGATGAGAGGATGAAGTGGGGAGGAGCTGGAAGTGGACGAGAAGGAGGGGTGACAGGCGGCAGGAGGGCAGGGGACACAAGGACTGAAGATGGCTGCTTGCACTTAGCAACAAAGCTGCTTCACAAGGACAGTTTCAGAAGAGTGTGTAGTAACAGCTGGTGACTGAATTGAGTGGAGGTGAGGAAATGGCATGAGTCTACACGCCTCTTAGGAAGATGGCTGGGGAAAGCAAGACAGTAGGAACTAAAGGAGATTCGAACTAAGGGATTTTGATTTTAGGGTGAGAATGTGCATAGCATGTTAAGATTCTGGTGGTAGAGTGGATTAGGGAAGTGATGATACAGCAGTGTTCAGTTCCCAGGAGGGCCTGTGCGGAGTGCAGAGCCGTGGGGAAAAGCCCAGCCTCGGACGGGAAGGAGGGCTCTCCTGCTGTTACAGGGAAATGGCAGGAGGCAGAGGTGGGTGGGCTGGTAAGTGAAGTTGGACAGATGAACTTTTCATGCAGAGAAAACCCACGTGAAGAAGAG